CGTGTACATTTTAAACCATAAAATCTAATAAGCTGCAAAGAAGAAGATTTAAAAACCAAGTTGTCATCGTGAGGGTGGAAAGGACAGCTCTAGCGTGTGCACTGGCATGCTCAAGGGCAGATGCCGGGAGACGGGGGCTCCACACGGCAGGGGACACCACAGCTGATTCCGAGACGCACCTGGTGGTGGCTCTGGAACTAGCCCAGGACCCAGCTCCAGTGCTGGCACTGGCTCTGTCGCTGGTGGTCTTAGGGAGGCTGCTTCTAGAACAGCCCTGGTTCCGTGACTGACCCTGGATTCTGGCAGTGGTACCAGAACTGGGGAGAGAACTGGTGATGGGCATGCTTCAGGTCTGGATCTAGGACCAGAGGTGGCTCTGTCATCTGATGCTGGGAGCAGATGCTAGCAGAGCTTCCTCTCCCTCCAGAGCAGGGCAAGAGCTTGTGCTAGAGGTGCAGCTCTGCAGCCGCCCCCCATCCTGGCTGTGGGGCAGATGTCATCCCACCTGCTGAGCTGTGAGCTCTGAAAGTCAGGAGAGTTCCTGCCTGCACACTGAAGGGAGAGTACACGGGTGCTGAATACATGAAGGAAGAATGAATGGATAGATGGATGGATGGTTGGAAGGAAGGAAGGAAGGAAGGATGGATGGATGGATGGATGGATGGATGGAAGGAAGGATGGAGGGAAGGATAGATGGTTGGATGGATGGATGGTTGTAAGGAAGGATGAATGGATGGAAGGAAGGAAGGAAGGATAGATGGTTGGATGGATGGATGGATGGATGGATGGATGTTTGGAAGGATGGATGGATGGCTGGAAGGAAGGAAGGAAGGAAGGAAGGAAGGAAGGAAGGAAGGAAGGAAGGATAGATGGATGGATGGATGGTTGGATGGATGGATGGATGGGTGGATGGTTGGAAGGATGGATGGATGGATGGATTGATGGATGGATGAATGGATGGATGATTCCATCAGCCCACCCAAGACTACTTTGTATCTCTGGTTTTTCCCATCTGTAAGATAACAGCAGCCACCTCCTAGGACTGTTGGTAGGATGACCCTGATTCAGTACACATGTAAGTGCCTACTGTGTGCAAGACACCATTCTGGAGACTTGGGGCTAAAGTACTTGCATGGAGCTGATTGGAGCGGGGCTGAAATGAGGGCAGTCAGGTCATAGACATGCTGTCCAATCTCATCTGGGACCCATTGCCAGGTTTAGCAGGCTGTCCCCGTGTCCTGGTCCAGCAGCTCAAGACAAATCTGGGTGGGGCTGGAGGGATTATGGGGCTTGCCATCTTCACAAATCATCAGAAAGAAGCTTCACTCTTCACTTTTTCTTCCTCATCTGATCCCCCCTCCCCACACTGCATTTCATCTCATGGATGGTCGTCATTCATTTGACCAGACACTGATGAAGGCAGCTGGGTGGTTTCCAGTCTTTTGCTCATGTGAAGAACATTGCAGGGCATAACCGTTGAGGAAGGTCAGGTGTAGAAGCGTTTCCATGGGACAGATTGCCTGAGCTGGGGCCGTTCAATCAAAACGTGACTACAATTGTAAGTTTGATACATGCGGCCAGACCGCTGCCCTGGGAGAGCAGCTGGGGTTCCCATCAACGATGAAGAAAGTTCCTCTTTCTACACAGCTTCCAAGGATCCTTGTGATTTTTTGGATTTAGTCATTTCTTAATGACTGAGTATACATCACATGTGTAAGCCTGTTTATATTTCTTTTTTGTGAAGTGTATTTTAATATCTTTGCTGTTTTATATTGTGTGGCTGCTCTTTTTGCTTTTTAAGATTTTATTTATTGATTTGAAAGAGAGAGACAGAGACAGAGATAGTGACAGAAAGCGCAATAGCAGTCCTTTGGAAAACGGGTAGTTCTCCAAAAAGGAAAACATAGTTACCACGAATCCACGAAACCATGCTTTTGGTTCTCTTGGGTACATACCTTGGAGTGCAGTTGCTGGATTCGTGGTAACTCTATGTTTTCCTTTTTGGAGAACTACCTGTTTTCCAAAGGACTGCTATTTTATATTTCAATCAGCAATTTCTCCGTATCCTCACCAGAACTTCAATACCTGTCTTTTTAATAATAGATGTCCTTTTGCATGTGAAGAGGTATCTCTTTGTGGTTTTTATTTGCATTTCCCTAAAAAATATTTATGTTTATAATATGTGTAATATTTATATGGCCATTTTTTAAAAGGATTTATTTGAGAGCGAGTGCGGGGGGTTGGGGGTGGCAGAGGGAGAGAGAAAATTTCAAGCAGACTCCTGCTGAGCTCGGAGCCTGACATGGGGCTCGACCTGCCGACTCCACAATCAGACCTAAGCTGAAACCAAGAGTCAGAAGTTTTAACCAATGTCACCACCCAGCAACCCCTGTGTATTTTCTTTGGGGAATTTGTCATATACAGATCCTTCCCCCACTTGTTAAGTGGAATGTTTATATTATTATATTATAGAGGTGTAAGAGTGTTTAATCTACAAATGTCCCTTATTAGAAATATTATTAGCAAGTATTTAATACCATTTAGTAGGTTGTCTTTCTCTTTTTTGATACTATGTTTTGATCCAAAATGTTAAATTTTTTGAAGCCAGTTTATATATTTTTTTATACTTGTGCTTTTGATGTCCCCTCTTGAGGACTGATGTTCTCTGCTCAGCAGACTCCGAAGTCTGGGCAGACACATTGCTGACCCTGGCCTCACCCAACAGCCTCAGACCAAGCAGACTCCACCTGACCCTGTCTTGAGGGAAAGGAGGGCTCCCTCCTTCCCTTCCACTGACCAGAGGCCCAAGTAGAAGCTAAGCATATTGGGTACGTGGGTTGGGGCCACTCCTGGTGGAAACGTAGATGGGTTTTGAGCACTTTTTCCCACTCTAAAGCCCCCAGCCTGATACTCTGCCCTTCCAGCAGCTTTGCTGAGCCCCCTCTGTATACTTTGCAAAAGCCTCCTGTGTTCACACGAGCTCAAGTGGTCCTGCTGCTGCACCTGGGAACTTTCCCTGGATGGAGCATGTCCACAGTCATCCCTGTGCCCACCTGAGCTGCCCTAGATGTGTTGTGTTCACTGAGAGGGAGGAGGTCTGTGCCTGGAGGGAGCAGGAGGGGCCGGGCTACGGCCCTCCAGGGAATAACCCGTAATGGGAATAGGACACTGTAATGAGTCTGCTTCTAAACAGATCTTTGAAAAACTATGCAAGAACTTCTTTTGGATAAATTCCTAGGATCAGTACTGCTAGGCTAAGGTAGGCACTGATGGGACTTTGACAGGTTAACCCTTTCTCTGGCATTGGTTTCTGCGGAATGCTTTACTGCTTTCTAGTTTCAGCCTGCCTTTCCACTAGTGACATTTTCCGAATATGTGGCTGGCCACAGACAAGCCGGCTGTTCGCTTATGGCTCCTGGCTCTCGTAGGACACTGAGGAGTGATGGGATAGCACTTCCAAGATGATTGACAGATGATTTACAAAAGGTTGTGACTTCTGTCCTGCTTGCTCTCTCCTGTGTTCCTTCCTTCCCTCTGTCCCTCCTTGTGTGTCTCTCATTGCTAAGAACCAAATAGGGGCTGAGATCAGATCAGCTGACTTAAAAGACCTGAAATCTTGGTCTAAACTGAGTCTCCCCAATAACTTGCTTATGAGCTCAGAGGTGGACCCTGCCCCAACAGAGTCCCAGCCGCCTGGGAGCTTCCCCCCAGCACACTCGTCCCAGACTTGTGCAGGGCTGGCTCCTCTTGTCTTTCTGGACACAGCATAAATGCCACTCTCGTGGCCTTGTAGGCCTACCGAGGGCCTCCTGGCTGGACCTCCAGCGCCCTGCTTCATCTCCCTATAGTATTTGCTCCCACTATGGACAGTGAGCTCCTGGTGGGCAGGGGCCATGTGGGTCCTTTCAGCAGTCACCCGGATGACTGCAGGGGCACAGTGGCCAAATGAGTCAATGAGAGGGTCTTAGAGCGCCCTCCCGCTTCTGAGAAGTTCATTAGTGAAAGGTCATTGTTGGGTTAGAATGACTCCTGGGTGTCCCCTCCCTGCTCCTGTTGCTCCGTTGGCCAGTGAGCTGGTCGGGGCCAGCACTGCAGCCCCAAGCAGGAAACCAGAAATTAAAACAGGCCTTTGGGGGTCATCAAGGCAGGGGGTTCCCAGGCCCCAGGGGACAAAGGGGCAGGACGTGGGGGCTGCAAGGGGGGATGAGAAGGACCTCTGATCCTCCATGTCCCCCAGTTTCCGACCAGTGTCCTGGGGTTTCTAGTTCACTCACGAAGTCTCCTCACCCCAGCCTGGCAATGATTCCGCCTACTTGCCCCTGAGGCTCCAGCAAGGACGGTCCGTCCTTGGACCCGGGAGGAGCAAGCAGTCCAGTGCTCTGCCACATTCTGCACTACCCAGGTCCTCCGTTCCGAGGCCGCTGTCCACTCCCAGGCACCCCAGGCAGTAGAAAGCATTTACTGGACTTAGCCAGGTGTGTCATCCATGAGGAACCGAGGCCGACAGACTTCTAGGAGCCTGTGGGATCCCCGGACCCCTGCCCCAAGCACATCAAGTTGCTGAGGGGGAAGACCTTATTACGAAGCCCCCTCGCCATGGGGGTGGGTACTAGGGGCGTACCCCGGTTCCAGGCGCCCAGAGCGCGGACACAGAGCCCCAGGCCTGTCCTCTCCCGCCCGACCCTGGGATGGCCCAGCCCTGCCAACCCCGGGAACCTCGGAACACTAGCCCGCCATAGGGGTTTCTTGCCCCTCCGGACGCGGCGCGCCCAGGGTCCTCCGCTGTGAGATCGCGGAGTCGTGCGCTTGCGCACAGCCACTCCCTGACGCCCGACTTTCGGGAGCCTGGGGATGTGGGCGTGTCCCCTGGCCCAAGGGGCGCCGCCAGCCAATCAGAGCCGCCTACCGCCGGCCCCGCCCACCGCGCGCGCTGGGGCCACTCGGAGCTGCAAGCGCGGCGGCGCGCGCGGGTAGTGTTCCCGCGGCCGCTGTGCTGTGCGGGCCATGGAGCGGATTCCGGCGCTGGGCTTGGGCACCTGGCAGGTGAGGATGGCCTTGTGCCCCGGGGCGGGCGGGGCCTTGCCCCAGCCGCGGAGGGGACTCGCGGGGCCACCTGCCGCCCGCCCTGCCCCCTCCCGAGCTCTCGCCAGCAGATGTCGGCGAAGGACGGCACAGGCGGTGGTCAGGCCGGGGTCAGGGTGGGGGGACGGCGGCCACTGGCCCGCGGGCGCCGTGGGGGCAGGTGACCTGCATCCCGAAGGCTAGTGCGGTCTGGGACCCGCGGCGAGGCTCCGTGAGCCGTCCTGTGCGCGGACTGGGCCCCCGCGGGCCGGGACGCGGGAGCCGCAGGGGAGCGGGGGGCGGACCGGGGTGAGCCCCGGCGACCCCGCGCGTCCGAGGGCTGCTGAGGCGGTTTCCCGCACGTCCTTTCCGGCTCTGCTGGGGCCCGGCTGTAACCTGACCCCTGACGGCCCCGGGGTCCAGCCCTGCGCCCACGTCCCTGCTGGTCGTCCCCGCGCCGCCCCTGCGCCGGGCCCGCGTGGGCGTCCGGTCGGGCACGGCGCGGGAGAACCTGCGGCCAGTGCTTCCCGGGCCGAAGCGTTCCTCTCTGCGGTCGTCGGGGCTCGGGTGCGCAGCCTTGGACCCGTCTTCCCGCGGGTTTGTGTGCGCGGTCGGCGGAGCCGGAGGGGGAGGGAGCGCGAGCAGACGGAGAGGGAGAGGGTGGAGGGTGGGACTTGATCTCCGGTCGGAGGTTCGAGCCCGGCGTTGGGTGTGGAGCCTAGGTAAAACAAAACAAACAAACAAACAAACAAACAAACAAAAATCACATTCAACACATGTCCAGGCACGTCGCTAAATCGTCCTCTTGTTCTCTTCGTTTGCCTGTAGATTCGTTTGGGTTTTGTACATGTTCATACCATCTGCAAATAGTGCTTCTTTCTGATCCTTAAATCTCAAATTCCTTTTTCCGTTTTGTTCCTGATCTTAAAGGTTATGTTTCTGATACGTACACGTTTGAGGATGATGTTTGCCTCTAGATTTTGGGGGTGGTTTTGTTCTTGATTTTTCTGTTATTGTTGTTGTTTTAAATGTGGGTATTCTTTACCAAGTTAAAGAGTTTCCTTTTCCCCTAGTTTACTGCGACTTTAAATCAGGAGTGGGTGTTCAATCTTAAACAACATTGATTGACATGATTTATTTTTTTAACCTGTTGATGTGAATTATCATGGATTTCCTAATATCAAGCCATCCTTGCTTTCTCAGATAAACTCAGTGAGCATGTGGTATGTTCTTTCTCCAGAGTATATTGTTGCATCCAATCTGCTGTTATTTTACTTGGGATTTTTGCAACGGTTATTCATGAATGAGACGAGTGTGTGACTGTTTTTTAATATTTTTGTCTGCTTTTGATTCCAGGGATATGCTAGTTTAGTAGGATGAACTGAGAGTATTCTTTATTTTTCCCTTCTGTGTAAGATTCTGTGTTAAATTGGGACGATTTCATCCTTGAAACGTTTGTAGAACTGTTTTTGTGTTTGTTTAACTAATTGCTTCATTTAAAAAAATAATTATAGGACAAGTCAGCTTTTACTTCTTCTTAAGTAAGTTTTTCTAAGGATTTTTCCCATTCTTTTCATCTTTCCAAATTTTCGGCTTATAGTTATTGATAATATTTTCCGAGATTTGGGGTCTATGTTTAATCTGTATGACTGTTTTTCATTCAGATCATGTTAAAAAAAAAAAAAACACTTGGTCCCATCAGTCTCATCAGAAGCTTTTCCACCTTATTAAGGTTTTTCAAAGAACCAGCCTCTGGCTTTGTTGATCTCTGTCCTGTCTTTATTGGATGTTCACTCGTGTTTTCACATTTTCTCTTCCCTTCTAATTTCTTGGCGGTTCATGTCCTGACTTGAGATGGATGCTTCATTGGCTTTTGGCCCCTCCAAGTGTGCTGCTCGTCAAGCAAGGACTGTCGCAACACAGCACAGGGGGGTCTGCGAAGGTCAAGTGAGCAGGTGCTTTGTGAACCACGAAGCCCTTTGGGAAGGCTCAGTGCGATGTGTTGTGAGCCCTCCCGGGCTTCGTCCCTGTTCCTGCCGTTTGCTTGCTTGAGCAGCGCCGTTCACAGTGAGTGTTTTCTGAGCTTCCACATTCTTGATGGAACCCACACTGCTCCTGTGGGTTTGGGGAGATGGTTCCCCGGTGGTGGAGTCTCTCCGTGTGAGTTCGCACCTGTTCACCTTTGCCCTTGGACTTCCGGTCTTGTTGGGTAGAGGGTGAGTCTACACCTGCTTCTCTCTCAGTTGCTATCAGGATTCCTTCTCCATTTCTTCATTACTCTGTTCGTTGAGAAGCTCAGCGTCTGGCCCCGTTATTTGCAGGCGCTAAAAGTACCCATAGACTTTTCCCCAAATAAGTCAAGGAGTTGCAACTCAGATTGTGTCTGAATCCTTTCTGACTCTGACACCGTCCCTCATTTTGGTGCTCACTGACACTGTGACCTCCTTCCTCACTTAGGCCCTGTTTGAGTCTTCATTTTAGAGTGAAACGCTGGGATGTCCTGAGCACGGGTGGATTGCTTCTGTCGTGTTCACTCTGCAGGCGGCTCCAGGGGAAGTGACAGAGGCAGTGAAACTGGCCATCGACGCCGGATATCGGCACTTCGACTGCGCCTACTTATACCACAACGAGAGTGAGATTGGAGCCGGGATCCAGTGCAAGATCAAGGAGGGCGTGGTGAAGCGGGAGGACCTGTTTATCGTCAGTAAGGTGGGACTTCACACGCGGGGCGGGCAGGGCGAACCCCCAGCGGCTCCCTTAGCAAGACAGCTGACCCCATGTGGGAGGGTTTTTGGTCTCCCAGCAGCTGGCAGCTCAGTTCGTCCTGGAACCAGACCTGCCTAGACATCCTCCACTTCATACACATGCTGGGAGTGGTGCAGGTGAAGGTGTCTGGGGCAGGGTGACAAGCAGAGGGGACAGCTTGCACAGAGGCACAGGCGTGGGACAGCGCCTTGGGTACACGGACCTAGAAGAAGCTTGGAGTTCCTGGATTGGAGAATGGTAGGCAGAGGAGTGCTGAGAAATGGGGCTGGAGCAGGGGACAGGCCAGATCACAGAGGCCTGGCTGCCTTTTAAGGGCCTTATTCTTTTTCCCGTACACAAAGGAGCACCGCTGAAGGATTTTAAATAGGGAGCTTATCTTCTGCAGCGGAGAGACTCGTGTCCTACCTGGGCAGTTGCAGCTACTGAAAGGAGCGTGCGTTTGAGCAGAAGGCAGAAGACAGGGGACGTTGAGGGCAGGGTGGGTGGGAGAGGAGGGCAGGCCAGACTTGGACAGGGAGAGACGGTGGAGGAGGGAAACAGGTGTGCGGGCCTGGTTAAGGGAGGACCCATTCAGCAGAGTTCAAGAACCCCTTTGCTTTTGACTTTGAGGCAGAATGTTAAGACTGTGAGGTCAGTAACCACAGGCCCTCATTCCAGCGTTCTCTACGAGCACCAGAGACTGGGTCAGTCACCCGATGGCACAGGGTCACAGCGTCGTTGTGTGTAAAGCAGGACTCAGATTTGATCATCGCCTGAGTAGTTTCCAGGTCCAATGTCCATAATTGCACAAGTCACCTCTGTTTCTGTGGCAGATTTCCTCTTGTTTCACTCTCCCAACGATCTCTGTAATTCATTGGTGCTTCTAAAGCTGGAGCAAAGGGAGGGTGAGGGATGGGCCGGGCCTGCACCTGGCAGGGGGCAGAAGACTCCCCTGCCACTCCAGGAAGGGAGCGGTGCCTGGTCTGCCCAGGCCAGCCCCGAAGCCAGGGGACATTCGCTCCCGAGTGCATCACAGCTGCAGGACAGGTGTGCTCGTTACTCTTGACACTTGGGAAAGTCATAGAAATATATATATATATGTTAAAACATCACTATATACTCCCCATCTAGAGAGTCCTGTCACTGACAACGTATTTTTAGGGTTTTTTGTTTTTCTTCTTTTCTGTCAGTGCGCTGTGTCGACGGTATGTTTTCTGTTTCTGTTCTCACTCTTGTACTAGTTCTTGTGTTTCCTCTTGCTGCGTCGGAGCCTTCAAGTGGCTCCCGTCACAGTTAATACTGAACAGCGTGACGGGAATCACAAGAGGAAGCACCAGTCAAGGATTTCGTGCTGACGGGGGTGGGGGTGGGGGGGGGTGGGGGGAGGGGCGTGTCCAGGTCCCCGCAGGCCAGTGGCGTTCACTCACCCACCAGCTTTACTGCAGGAGTATGACGCCTTCATCCCCAGGGACCTTCAACGTGGCACAGACTGACATGGGAAACGCAATGTAGACTTTCTTCTGAGTTTTCCTCCTCTCCTTTCTGTCCACACGCATTGAGTTTGGTTTGCTTTGGCTTGGGTTTTCTTTTGGTCCCAGTGGGTCCAGATAACTGGCAGCCCCCCACCATATAGTTCACGGGGCCGCCAATGTCCCTTTAGTAGGACTCAGGCCACAGAGCCCAGTTTTGGGGATCCCTCCCCAAGGGAGCCCTGGAACCATTGGAGGCTAATGTCCCGGCCGTTGTTGTATTTATAGCCATAGGGCCTTGGATGTTACTGGATTGTGGGACCAAGGGGCAGACGTTGTGTTAACCCTGGCTTCCCTCCTCCCCTGGGCAGCTCTGGTGTACCAGCCATGAGAAGTCCCTGGTGAAAGCAGCGTGCACCAAGAGTCTGAGGGCCTTGAAGCTGGAGTACCTGGACCTCTACCTCATACACTGGCCCATGGGTTTCCAGGTATGAAAGGCACTAGCAGCCCCTTCCTTCCTGCTCATGCCTGCCGGGGGATGCAGGGAGCGAGGGCCCCAGCTCAGCAGAGGCCTAGGCTCGAGGCCCCTGCGGGCCGCCATCAGCTCCCTCCTCTGCCTCACAGGCCGGGGAAGAAGACATGCCCTTGGACCCCAGCGGCATGGTGATACCCAGTGACACCGACTTCCTGGACACGTGGGAGGTGAGCCACGGGTTGGTGGGCCTCCGGGCAGGGTGCTGGGAGGTGAGCTGCTGTGTTCACCAGGAACGCACACAGGGATAACCAGGGCAGACCTCCCGGTGAGTCTCAGTGTCTACTTGGTTGTTTATTAGAAACAGCAGGTGGTCATCACGGAAATACAGAAGAGGATAAAAAGAAAAGGTAGAATCTGTGTCTCCCTCCTACAGTGGTGACCACCACTGCTGTCCTGTAGCTGCCAACGGCTTGTCCATGAGCTTCGTTGGAGCAATGCCTGGTGGCACGGCGAGGTTTGGGGGGCGCTGGGAGGAGCTGGAGGATGGGGCACGAGCTCAGCCCACGGCTGGAGTCCAGACAGGAAGGGAGGAAGAGGCCTTGAGCAAAGCCCCGAGCACGGGAGTCGAGGGGAGGGGTGCCAGTGTGGAAGGGGGGCAGGGTTCCCGCTGCCCCCCGCTGTGCACACCCATGTGGGGTAGAGGAGGGCAGGGGTGAGGCATGGGAAGCAGGTGAGGTCATACTGAGCTCAGGGACAGGCATGGTTACCTACAAGTACCAGGCAGAACGAGTGGGACAAGCACCAGCCAGGCCACACCCTCCCCCTTCCCCTTAAATGGGGGTTGGCTTAACAGATTAGCCGAGGGCCCCGGCCTGGGAGAGCCAGGGTCCCGGGGCCCCAGCCCTTTCTGCCCCATGGCACTGCTTCTCCAGAAAGCATGGGTTAAACTCTGGGCTGTCTGGGCGGCACCAGCGGGTTCTGGATGGTGCCGCAGGGGCCATAGCTGTTGTGCTTGCCGGTGGCCGCACCGTACTCCTGCTGACAGTGTGGCTGCCCCGGGCCACGCTCCTCCTGGAGCTGCCGGCCCCTCCCTGTGCTCAGGAAGCATCTAATCAGAGTAGAAGGGGTGAGTGGACAGCAACGGACGTCCCTGCGCCAGACCTTACCAACAGGAATCGAGCATGGGAGGAGCAGTAACGGCCACCATGTGGCGTGGCTTAACCACTTTCCAGCCCTGAGCTAAATGCTTGCACGTGCTGTTTGATGGAATCTTTAAAACAATCCTGTGGCATGGACAAGCTTGTCCCCACTTTGCAGTGACAACATTGAGTTTAGTGCGATCCTATAAATGTGCCCAAGCTCCCCCAGCCGGGGGCATGGAAGCGGCATGGGCCCTGCGGGCAGAAGGCCTGTGGGGCATCGGGCGGGCTCACGCAGCCTGCAGAGGAGTGAGGCCATGGGTTCTCGGGTGCGGAACGACTCTCTGTTCTCTTTAGGCCATGGAGGACCTGGTGGTCATGGGGCTGGTGAAAGCCATTGGGGTGTCCAACTTCAACCACGAGCAGCTGGAGAGACTTTTGAACAAACCCAACTTGAGATTCAAGCCAATGACTAACCAGGTGAGGCTTTCACAGGCGGAGCTGGCTTTTCAGCTGTCACTTCCATGTGGCTGGACTGGAGACGGAAGAAGGTGGGGGCACACCGTGGCCATTTGTCTCTGGGGACTGCAGACGGGCCACTCGGGAGCAGGTAGGCAAGCAGCTGGGGCCAAGGCAGGAGAGCTGCCCCAGAGGCTTGTGCTGACGGCGGTGCCCTCGGAAGGCAGGGCGAGGGCTGAGCTGGGTTTTCCCTGTGCAGCGGCGATGAGGGGTCCCACTCACAGCCGTGCAGGCCTCCTCGGAAAGCTCTTCTCTGTGGACCAGCCCCCGCAGAGGGCAGCCGCCGTGCCGATTACTAAAGCAGAGGGCAGCTTTGATCGTGCAGATAACGTGATGTGTTACGTGCTCGTTTGTGTCCGGCCTCTTTCAGCCTCATAGCTGTTGGGTGCCTCCATGCCCAGTATGACTTCCCTCGTTCTGCTGTGTGCTGGTCCATTACGTCAGTAATGGGCACGGACTCATTCTAGCACTCGGGCCTTTGGGTAGTTTTGGGGACATGAAAATAGAGCATCACATTCCATATTTTATTTTTTAAAAAACCCTTTCTAGCTAAAGCATTACAGGGAGACTGGAAAGGGTGTCGCTCCGTGAGTCTCCCCAGGTGAGCGAGCTCAGGTGGTCGCACCTGGGGCAGGGAACAGAACAGCCACTGACTTCTGGAAGCTCTTCTAGCCACTGTCCCCGAGCAAGGATCACTCAGTGCTGCTGCTTTACAACCTTGCGAGCCTAGATCTGTCCAAGTGCGTCATAGCTCCTGTCCTGTAAGGGTTCGCAGTGGCACTTTAAATCCCGGGAAGGGCTGGTGCCTCATCTGTGGGGTGCGGAGGGGCTGGAGGGTATGTCCCCTAATTAGGGTTCTGAGCCCCCCCGGAATGTGGGTTCAGAAGGGTTTTCAGAGAGCCCACAAGGTCCTGTGGTAGCTCTTCATTCTCCCTAAACAAGCATCTGTTCCCAGCCCACTGAGGACCTGGGATCGTAGGTGAGAATTCAGAGGATGTGGAGACAGGAATCGCGCCCTCCAGTTTCTTCCAGTGCCCGGTGGCGTCCCCAGGAGCCTGTGTTTGCCCCGTGACTCCAGCCCCGCTCGCTGTCCTCACAAGTGTTGATGAGCACGTTCCGCGTGGCTGGCTCGATCTGGGCGTGGGCAGATGTCCGCGAACTGGGCAGATGTCTGCGAATGCGGCACCGTCTGACCAAACCCGCGCCGTCGTGGAGCCTGCGTCAGATGGCGGGAGACAGACTATGGCAAATGAGTACAGCATCGAAGATGTCCGTGATGTGGGCTAGAGTGGAGAGTAGAGGACAGAGGGGGCCTCACGGAGCAGGGGCCATCTGCGCATCCAGGGAATGCGGGTGTCCCTTTTGCCTGTTCTCAAGGGCTTGTCACTTCACAGCGGTAGACGCTTGAGCCTCAGGGTGGGTCACGCAGCTCCTCGGTGACAGCCAAGACAGTCATGTGTGGCCTGTTTCCTGACGTGCTGTTGCTCTGAATTTTCTTGGTAAGCTGGGACTCTCTTCGTAGGTTGAGTGCCACCCATATCTGACCCAGACGGACCTGATCCGTTTCTGCCAGTCCAGAGACGTGTCCGTGACCGCGTACCGGCCCCTTGGTGGTTCCAGGTAGGACTGCGTCGCTGGCGGTGAGTCTCGGCTCCAGCAGGAAGGAGATGCACCGTCTGGCCGAATGTGGGTGGTTAGCGGAGGGTCTTGGGAAGCAGGGTGTGGGCAGGGTGCACACAGACCACAGGCACCCTGCGGGGGTGCTGCCGGGGAGGGAGCTGGTGCCGGGAGCCAGAGGAGAGTCACTCTGGGGGACGGAAGCGGCTGGGGCAGCCTCTGCTGAGCCTCTTCATCGGGCTGGTTCACAGACATCCCCGTCTCTGAAGAACAGAGACTCCTCCCACCCTCCCCAGACGAGCCCCCACGCTGGCAGCCCTCGGACCAGACACCTGAAAATCCGGCCTTCCCAGTCCATCAGCAGCATCCTCTGATCACTCTGCCGGCAATCCCGGGCTCTGTCTCTTGGTCTCTTGTTCTCGCCGTCGCTGCCTTGGCTAAGGGGGAGTCCCTGAAATTCTGCAGCCTCTTTACTCCAGCCGTGTTTGACCGGTTCCGGATCATTGTCTACACCGCACACGTAGCCAAAGGGAGTGTCTCAAAATGATCAGGCCACTTTCTTGCTTAAAAACTCTTCAGTTCTTGCAATGGCCTAGGAGTCCCAGCTGGTCTGCCTGCTGCCCATTTCCGGCCTCCTTTCTTCCTGCAGGAAGTGTCACACCGACCCCTTGAAACTGCGCGGGTCTCCCGGAATGGATCGCGTTCTCTCCAGTCTCTGTGCCTCTGAGCACACTGTTCTCTTTACCTAGAGATCCTGCTGTTAGCCTTTTTTTTCTTTTTTTTAATTTGGCTAACTCTGATTTCTAATATATGGTTTAACAGCGTCATCTCCTCCAGGAAGCTCTCCAGACTCCTCGTAGTCAGGTTTTGTCCATCGACCTCATCATATTGTCCTGTCGTCAATTCCTTTTCCCACTTGTCAGAGCTGCTTCAGTGCAGGGACAGTGACAGTGTGTGATTTGTGACTTCCTGCCCGCCCCTGGCTCAGTGCCTGGGACAGAGCAGGTGTCCTGGGAAGGCTGGAAGTATGTGTGATGACCTGTGTAATCACACGGAAGCAGGCACAGGTGTTGGAACTTGGTAGCAGCAAGGGAGTTGCCAAAGGCCAGGTTCCGGTTGTGCAGCTCAGTGCAGCGTTGTGGGGGGCGCGGTGGGTGCTGGGAGCCGCCCAGGGAGGGGAACCAGCCTAGTGCTGGGCCTGCAGCAAATGTAATCAGCCGTTTAGTTCCTTCAGGAGACTCTGAGCACTGTTTTTAGAGCAGTGCTCGGATCTAGGAGCTGCGTAAAGAATGGTCCTTGCGGAAACGTCTCTCCAGCGTGGTTAGGGCCTGTGGCTGCGGGACCACGCTGAGGCCCGGCACAATTCTTTGCACTGGGGCTCGCACACATTCCCAGTCTCAGGCTTGTTCTGGTATTTGAGCTGCACTTTTCTGAAATTGCCGTAATCAACACCAATGACAGGAACAGAGCTGCGGGTGCTAGGTCAGGCCTGGCAGTAAGTGTCAGAGGAACACACAGCAGAGTGTGGGCAGACATTGTCACCTTGTTCTCGAGAAAACACCAATGTCCATCAAAGCAGCGCGTTCAGCTGTCTCCACGGGAGCGTTAGCTGTGGCTGTGGCTAGATGGTGGGATTTGGGTGATGAGGCCGTCCCTGCAGTGAGCAGGAATCGTGGTGAGATGAAAGCAAATCCTGGAGGAAGTGGTGTGTGTTTTGAAGCAAGAAGCACACATGTTTGGCCCCCTAACCCCCTTCCCGGTCCTGCTCTCTCTAGTGAGGGGGTGGACCTGATGAATGACCCCGTGATTCAGAGGGTGGCCCAGAAGTACAACAAGTCTCCGGCCCAGGTAGGAGGGGGCTGCCGGGGCTGGGGGTGCTGCTCCCGCTTCCTCAGGGAGCCAGGCTCTGGGTGGAGGAAGGGCTCGCTCACGCTGGCCCCGCTGCCCCCTGCCTCAGGGTGCCCCCTGCCTGAGCTCCCTCGGTTCCCAGCGCACAGGGCCGTGCGCCCGCCCACTCGGGGAGGGGCTTTGCCTCCGTGTTCCGGGCTCTCATGTTGCACATCTAAGGGTTGGGCGCCTCAGTGAGTTCTCATTAATTCACCGAATTATCCATGGGCGCTCATTACACACACATTGGAGGAACCATCCAGAAAACACCGGTTTGGTTCCTGGAGGACTCTGGAGAAGACAGCCTTGTAATAAAAGCTCCAGCTGCCCCTGACTTTGGGACGTCATAGTACCGTATGATGTAAACTGTGCGGGAAACGGCTGGCTCCCGGGGAGTCCCCTTTGGCTGATGTTGGACTTTTTTTCCGTAGATTTTGCTCCGATTTCAGATCCAGAGGAATGTGATCGTGATCCCCAAATCAGTCACCCCAAAGCGGATTCTTGAGAATATCCAGGAAAGTGCATTTCTTCTTTTACTCGGAGGGTTTGGGAATCATCGCTTAGCTGGGGGTCTGACCCCGCAACAAACAGGGGCCTGTGGCTTTGACACAACAGAAGGCAGATGAAGCTGCAGCCGGGACAAGGAATCCGAGAGGGTGACCGCGTTGGCCTAGGAGGCGGCCAGCTGGCCAAAATGGGGGACAGAGAGAGGACGAACACCCAAGGTGTCGCCCAGAGGCGCCCTGGGCTGCCTGCCTAGCCAGGCACCAGCTCCCCAACCCTCGGGACCGCTGTCCCCGGGCTGCCCTGAGCCCTCCAAAACTGAACCCAGCCTCCCCACTGGGCCCCGGCCCGCCCTCTAGTCGGCACTGCTGTGGACTCCGAGTCCCTGGTTTCTACTGGAATGCGGGGGCGTGAGGGGGCGTGAGGGGGCCTCGGGCACTGCACCTTCTCTCCCAGCTCCTCAGCAGCAACCAGGGTTGGCTCTCCTGGGAGAAAAGGTCCTATTTGAGGAGTGGATCATAGTCCTCAAGTGTGTTAAGAGCAAAAGGGTGGGCAGGGTGCCGGGGGGCAGCTTAGAATTCTGCTTGAGAAGGAACGGACACAAAAATCATGCTGTGTTACAGCTACTGTTAGACTTAATGGTCCTGGGCCCCGGTGCCCTCCCAGGTGGTAGGGTGTGCGGCACAATGGATTTGGGTTTTGGTTTTTCGTTTTTTAGTGTTTTTGAGCACTGCGGGAAAGATGCTTTGCTGTGCCTCTTAACTACCCCGGGTGTCCCTGACTCCCTTGGGGTGGACACAGCACCCGGCCGGTCTTCCCAGGGGCTCCCACACAGCCCCGGGCCGCCGGCGTCCAGCATCCGCTCACAGCCCATGTGTGGGTGTGAAGGCTGGTGCTCCGGGGAAATTGCAGGTGCCACACGCCGTGTTTCCTCTGCAGCGTCGTGTCCCCAACAGGCCTGGCCCAGCGCCCTGCAGGTAACGCGTGCACAGAGAAACGTTCACCAGACTGAATTTGCTGTGAACGTCTGTTTCGGCTGCAGGTGTTTGACTTTGAACTCTCAGAACAGGATGTGAATGACATCCTCAGCATGGACAGGAACTTCCGAATGTGCCGGCTACCCATGTAAGTGCGGCTCCTTCACTGGCTCTTGTGATAGAGGCTCTCACAGACAGACAGAGGGCTTGGTCCCTGAGGAGGTGTTGATTGTATACGTTTGAGGTTAGCGAAGCCTTCTCACAAGTCTCTCCTGTGTGAGGCTGGGCCACTGAGCGAATCCGAAGACTGATTTAACATATCGGGGAGCTTGAAGTACACGAAAGTAGCTTTTAGAATGTTTCTCTTAGAAAGAGTATCCATATCTATTTTTTATTTGTTTCCTGTTTCTCAGAGCTGTGAACCACAAGGACTATCCTTTCAACATAGACTACTGAGCATGGCTTCCCCCTTCCTCCTCCTGCTGCCTGGATAGACACCCCCAGCTCCCACCTGGCCCGCTCAGCACAGGGCGGCCAAGGAGGGGAGGGAGGGGGTTTGATTTGGTGGATTCCTGCCTGGAACAGAAGCTGAGCTCCCTGAGAAATTCACACGGTTCAGCTGGTCTCAGTGACAGAGACAAACACCACGGGAGCAATGATTACTCTCTGTGGAGAACCTCCGTCCTCAGAATCCTTTGAGCACAGTGTGATGGGGTTTTTACAAGACAAGCCAAGTGGCCTGTACTCTCGAAGAAAAGACTGTTTGGTGGAAACACTCAAATACAAGAGTTGAGATCATCACGTGGTGAGTCTCTACGTCTGTCACTCAGCCCCCTCACCAACCCTGGGCTGGCCCTGCGTCGTCTGTGCGCCTCTGTCCCTGCCAATCCCCCAAAATCCTTACCTTCACACAACCAGGGAACACCTGGCTGAAAGTGGGAGATGTCTCACAGAGAGGCTTTTCTTCTTACTCAGGTAAACCCGTGGAAACCCCAGCTCAGAGAGGAAATGTGGGCCATTCCCATCAGGCAGTCAGGGTCCGCCCGGTCCCGGGGCTCCATCAGGAAGCGCGTGAGGGCTCATGTCCACACAGGCTCGTTCAGGGCAGTGTGTGACTTGTCTCACTAGGTGGCACTTGGGCACCAAGCTTGGGGCCATTTTTTATTTTGAGCTGCTGTAAATTATGTTAGATTAAAAAGGATCATTTTCTTGAATGAATTCCCAGATGTTTTCCCTCTTTCCATTAAGTGTAAGGCTAATAGGGCTTTTTATTAGTATTTACAGAATTTTTCTATTTAATGAAGTAATTCTACCAGATTCAGACTGCAAAGAAAATGAAGAAGAAAGAGCTCAGTTACAGAGAGCGACAATAACAACTTCTAAGAAGAATCATCTTTCTGGTGGGTCCTTCTACTCTCTGCCCATGCCCACGACATACGTAGATAAATGACACAGAATATGTAACAGGGGTGCCTAGGTGGCTCCATCCTCAGAGCATGGGACTCCTGGTTTCAGCCCAGGTAATGATCTCAGGGTCGGGAGATTGAGCCCCAAGTGGGCCTGTGCGCTCAGCAAGGAGTCGCTTCTCCTGCTCCCTCTGCCCCTCCCCCACTGCGAATGCACTCCCCCCCAAATCTTAAAAAAGTATCTGTAATACATGTAATACACATCTAATAAATGGACATAAACTTCACAAAACTATATTTGTAACTTTTTTAAAAGGCATGAATGTATACACTAGATGTACAGTTCATGCAACTAAGTATTTTGACAAACAGTTTTAACAGATCATCCGAGCTTCCTGCCTAGTGTAAATGAATTCCACATCTTAAAATGATCCTTATCGCCGTAAGTCCAGCCTTACAAAGGCACTGCTTGCTGGAGTGGGGCGGGGGGTGTTCTTCTCACCCCAGAGCTAAACTCGGCTGCCGGCAAACGTCAGTTCACAGGTAAGCCTTGAGGGACCCCACGGTACTGTAAGTCCCGTCACTGTACTCCGCAGAAAAACAAAGGATTTCACATTTGTAAGTGGCTTTTTACTAGGACCACCTGGAATAGCAACACCACGGCAGGTACCGTGAGGGTAAAAAACACTTGGCCCTGCAGAGCTGGGGTCGGGGACAGGTGCACAGCGGGCGGCCCCCGGGCTCTGTCGCACTGCGCACAGCACGAGGGCGCGGCCTGTAGGCCAGCACCGCAGCAGACACCCCAGCTGGGACCCCAGGCCCACGTGGGAGGACCGCGAAGCGGGTCCGCGCAGGGCGCCGGCGCATTCGCGGCTCTGACAGCAGAGGGCGCCGCTGCTCCGCCTGTGGATTGGGGGCTTTACCCGGGGTCGTCTGGGGGTGGGGAACGGGGGAGCCAGGCTCCAGGCCGGAAACGGAGCGCCTGGGCTGCGGACACTGGCGCCTGGGCGGCCTCCTCTCGTTGGACCAGCGGGAGCGCAGGGGCCAGCCCTGGGGAGGCGGCTGGGCTTCGTTCCCGAGCCTGGACCGACATCGGGGGCCACTGGCCCGGAAGGCCCCACGAGGGGGCCAAGCAGCGGGGCGCTGTTTGCTTACCCAGCTCGGGAGATCCGACCACTCCCCGGGGGCCCGCCCCCCACCTGGTCCGACCGCGGCACCCGCAGGTGTGATGCCTGCTCCCGGCGTGGCCCGGTCCCGCCTGGACCACAGGAGATGGACGCCCGCTCGGACGGCTGCCGGGAGGCCTCTCTCCGTGCGGGGGACAGCCTTCATGAAAAAGGCCACCCTTGCTTACCCACCTCGTGCACACAAGGGCAGCTTGGGATCTCTGAACAGCGGGGTCCGTCTTTTTTGAGGGAACTTCTATTATTACCAGCAGTGTTTGAACTTGAGCCCCAATACATATATTTTTTTTATGTATTACATAAATGCACTCTTTACTAATCCGTTGTGTACATTATAAAATACACCTCAAAATAGAAAAAAAAATTTAAACTGAGCCAGAGATGAATAAAAAATTGAAAAATAAGAACTTTAATCATGGTCCAAACCCTATTCTCACGAATTTATTGTGATTACTAACAAATTCTTTTCAAAGCAACAGTTGGTCTATGTTTCTATATATATATATATATATATATACATATACATATATATATATATTCGATCTTGATTCAATATTTTGTGGTATAGAAATTTGAAATTCTGATTCTAAACTAAGTTTCATTTGAAACATGGTCTTTATGGCAAGCAGCTGGGGCTGGGAATTCCTCACAAGGCATTGATGCAAATGGAGAAAATACATCTTTGGAATCTCTTAATAAATCATGGCACTCATTTCTCAGTCCCTTTTCCAATTATACCATTTTTGAAATTTGGACTCTCCGATATATGTGAAGTTTTTTGAAAAATTACACTTTCAGTAACTTACGAGAACTCTAAATTTATAAAGATCTCCTGGTGGAAAGTTGGGATTATATTTCAAAGTCCTTAAAATGTGTCTATGAATTGATAGCAATTGAGCCTTTAGATATCGAAGTTTAGGGAAAAAGAGGCCCCCCACCCCCATTCTCAAGTTGGAGAGTGGGTGTTGCTAAAGAAAACTATTTATGGTTAATCATTTGAATGGGGGGGGCAGCTAAAATTTGAATTTAACAATTTCCAGAAAGGATTGTTCTTCCCCTGGGGTTCATTTGGACTTCGAACTCCTCACCCCAAATTCTGAATTATCCCACCACTTGGTAACTAGGAATGCCAAGTCCTAGGACTGGCTTGAAATCCCCATCATTCAAGGTCAGAGAAGGGGGTGTGTATCAAGCCACTGGGTTCACCGGCTGGGCTAAATCACTCCTGTTTTTAATTCCACTTCCTCGGGGTTGTGCTCTGACGGGACTGTTCTTGGGATTACTCAAGCACTGGTAGCAGGGCCTATGGCTAGAGCCTCACCAAAATTCTTTTGACTGTGGGTTAGGAAAAATTCCAAAAGGAGAGGGAACATATGTGTGGAGATTCCTCAAGAAATTAAAAATAGAGCTTCCCTATGACCCGCAATTGCACTACTGGGTATTTACCCCAAAGATACAGATGTAGTGAAAAGAAGGGCCACATGCACCCCAATGTTCATAGTAACAATAGCCACAGTTGCCAAACTGTGGAAAGAGCCAAGATGCCCTTCAACGGATGAATGGATAAGGAAGATGTGGTCCATATACACTATGGAGTATTATGCCTCCATCAGAGAGGATGAATACCCAACTTTTGTAGCAACATGGATGGGACTGGAAGAGATTATGCTGAGTGAAATAAGTCAAGCAGAGAGAGTCAATTATCATATGGTTTCACTTATTTGTGGAGCAAATGAGGGAAATTGGAAGGGGAGGTGAACCATGAAAGACTATGGACTCTGAAAAACAACCTGAGGGTTTTGAAGGGGCAGGGGTGGGAGGTTGGGGAAGCCAGGTGGTGGGTATTACGGAGGGCATGTATTGCATGGAGCACTGGGTGTGGTGCAAAAACAATGAATACTGTTACACTGAAAAGAAATTTAAAAAAAAAAGGAGAGGGAACATATGGAGCTGGAACCAATTTTCTGGTTTCTTATTTTATCAAGGACTTTTTAATTTTGAGATAATTATAGATACACAGTAAGGTGTAAGAAATAATAGAGAATATCCCATGTACTCTTTACTCAGTTTCCTCTCGTGGTACCATCCTGAAAAATGATAGCACAGAATCATAAAAACCAGGGTTTTGACATTGATGCAATCCACTGATCTTATTCAGACTTTCCCAGATTTATGCTGATTTGTGTCTGTGATTTTTTTTTCACATGTGCGTGTTGAGGAATACTTCACCACAATCTAGACACAGAACATACTCCCCTCTCTCTTCTGTTCTTACTCCCTCCTTTTTCCCCAGCTTGACTGAGACATAGTTGATAGATAAACTGTATGTATTTAAAGTGTACCAACACAATGATTTGGCAAACATGTTCATTATGAAATGATTCCCACGATCAGGTTAATTAATACACCCATCACCCCAGATGGTTAACAATTTGTGTGTGCGTGTGAGAGAGAACACTTAAGATCTAATCTTTAAGCAAATACCAATTTTACAATATAGTATTATTAACTCTAATTACCCTGCTGAGTGTTAGTTAGGTCCATGGAACTTATAACAGAAGTTGTGCCTTTGACCAACATCTCTGCATTCCCCCCGCCGTGACGACACGAATGTTAGAATTTTTTGTTATTACTCGGGGCCCACGAGGCTCTGTTCATTTTTTCCCCCTGGTTACTTTCTCTCTCTTGTTCCCATTGGGTGATTTATGTTGTTTTACCTTCCACTACACTAATTATTCCTTCTGTACCTTAATGGCTGTCAAGTCTATCCTTTGAGATTCTTATTTCCTTTATTGTTTTTTTCAGTTCTAAAATTCCCATTTTGTGTCTTCTATTTCTTTATTGAAATTTTCTGTCTTTTCATTTGTTCCCAGTTGTTTGCCATTGCTTGTTGAAACATTTTCATGATGGCTGCTTTAAAATTTTTCTCAGATAATTTTCATATCTTGGTCTTCTTGGTGTAGGGCATCTGTCACTTGTCCTTTTTCACTGGGTTTGATAATCTTGTCCTTGGTATTATGAGTAATTTTTAATTGAAATATGGCCTTTTTGTATTGTGTTTTATTTTTTAATTTTTTTAAAATTTTATTTATTTATTTGACAGAGAGAGAGATCACAAGTAGGCAGAGAGGCAGGCAGAGGGAGAGGGGGAAGCAGGCTCCCTGCTGAGCAGAGAGCCTGATGTGGGCCTTGATCCCAGGACCCTGGGATCATGACCTGAGCCGAAGGCAGAGGCTTAACCCATTGAGCCACCCAGGTGCCCTTTGTATTGTGTTTTAATTAAGTTTTAGATTCTTTTAAAAGGTCTGCTAAATTTGTATAATGTGGTAAACCCACAGAACAAAAGAAAAAAAAGATTCTTACGGACAAGTAAAAAGCTTGAAAGTATACTAAATGGTTAGCTTTTTTGGGGAGGGGACTATGATCAAAGGATTAACATTTCAACCTCAGTGACACAGAAAAAAGCAAAATAAACTAAAAAGCTAAGGTACTAAAAGGTTAGGTTGTTTGATATGTATTTTCATTGACTTTGGGGTGGGGGGGTAAAGACAGGGTTTAGAGACTTTTATTTCCAGATCCAGGGACTCAAGCCACATTTCAGCCTGTCAGGCTAAGCAACGTAGGATAAACTAGATACCGTCTCATCCGTGAGCTGTTTGCCCATCATCAACCAGAGTCCAAGAACTCGAGGGCAACCAGACACCGCTGTCAATTCTCATCAAAGAATGGATAATCTGGATGATTAACAAATCTAGAAGGTAAAGGGAGAGACTTAGTCAAGTATGTTTCCGGCCTGGGTAAAGAGAGGTTTCTTTTAAACTGGCTTAAGTATGAAAATTAATGGAACCTTCTTTTGGGATAGGTACAAAGGCACTCAGTTTTACAATAACCATGTCCCACTGCCTGACACTGTAAGGAATACAATGTAGAGAATATACTTACATGCTCATGATCACAGGTACAAAAACAAACCAAAATGTCGCCTTTTTGCAGGTATTGTACTAGTCTACAACCTAAGGAGATAAGCTCTTTGCGTTGCTATTTTAAACTCCCAAGAGGGCAGAAATGAATTCTGGCTCTTTTAAAACCATGACAACCTAGTTTAATCCATCAAGTTAACAAATATTTCAAGGCAATGACGAGGAGGGTGATAAGACTGTCACTGTGATTCAGTTTCTTTCAAGCACTCGGAAGTAATTCATCTACGTCTTGGTGAGAAATTACTTTTTAGACGTGGGGTGAATACAGTGGTTATGATATAAGATACTTCATCAGGGGGTTTTCATTTTAGCAAGGGAGGTAGACCCCCCCTCTCTCTATATATATAGTAATAATTTTGAGATAAGAAGTGCTAAATCACTAAACAATTAATTACTAATTAAAATGACCAGTGTTAATTGCCAGGGAATACTGCCCATGTCTCCACTCTCCGCCCCCCTTCCCTCTCTATCATTTGATGGTATTATTCATTCAACAAGCTTTTATTAATGACTGGGGGAGACGGTAGATATTTCAATCCTGCCCTAGGAATCTAACACTTCGAAGGAGGTCAATGGGAAATCAACAACATAAATCAATAAACGGCATGGAATGCTAATTAGGAATGCATGCCAAAGGAAAAAGGAAGTTGAGTAGAGACAAAGGCATTGCTGGGCAGAGTTGCATTCCTAGGTAAGGTGACAGAGAAAGCACCATGGAGGTGACTCCTGAGGGAGGACGTGAAGGAGGTGAAGGAGTGGGAATCCAGCCATGGGGAGGAAGAGCATTCTAGGCAGAGAGAACAGTCAGTGCAAAGGCCCTGGGATGGGCCTGGTGTCTGTGCAGAACAGCAAGGCCTTGGGGCTGCACTGGTGTCAGCAGGGCAAGAGCAGAAGGACATGGAGGCAGACACCGAGGCCCCTGCAGGTGTCGTAAGAAACTTGGCTTTCACTCTGAGTGAGAAGGCAGGCTACCAGATGTCAAGAAGAGGAGTGCCTGTCCACTCCGGCCTACAGGTGTGGATAGGAAGTGCCAGCTCTGGGAGACGGAGCAGACGGCAGCCGGCTACCTGAGCAGGAAGACTTTGGGCTGTGTGGGTGTGCAGCAAGGGGTGTCTGCACATCCCATAGGAGCTCAATTGTAGACATGGTGGGTTTGAGGTTAATATTCCACACCCAAGTGCTGCTGAGTAAACAGATACACAAATCCTCATAGGTCTGGGCTGGATCTAATTTGGGGAGTGTGTATTTATTTAGATGGCGTTTAAAGCATGAAACTGGATGAAATCACTGATGAGGTCAGTGCAGATAGGAAAGAGAAGAGGTCCAAGGACTGAGTCTCTCCAAAGTTAAGAGGTCAAGTGGATGGAGAGGAGCCTGCAAAGAACATGAGAAGGACCAGCTAGGGAGACCAAGGGAACACAGACAGGATCTGGGGAAGGAAAGCCAGGAGCACGTTTCTAGGAGCGGAGAGCGATCCACCAGCTAAGACAAGATGAATGAGGAGAGGAGGTCATGGTGGACCATGATGAAAGAGTTTTGGTGAAGTGGAGAGCAGGTGCCTGCTTTGTGTAGGTTCAGAAGAGGATGAGAAGGGAAAGCCTGGAGGCAGCAAGTATAGGCTTCTTCCAGATGTTTCCCTGTGAAAGGAGAAATGGTGAGCGACTCCAGAGTGAAGTTGGCTCAAGAGAAGATTTTTGGTTTTGGTTTTAAAGATGGGAGCATGTTTGAATGCGTCTTGGAATCATCCCAAGGGAAGGGAAAAGATGGTAGTGGAGGCAGACTATGGGATTTCCCCAGGTTTCCTAAAGGCCACTGAATAAAGCAGAGAGAAGGACAGAAGTCAAATGTATGTGCAGGGAACACCAGCCCCTGGAATTCAAGTGGGGTGGGGACAGAGGATGGGAGAGAACAGGGAACATGGGGTCGGAAGGTTGGAAGGAAAAATGTTTCCCAGCCACTTCCTAAAAGATGAGGCCCCCCTCTGTGGATTGTGACCAATGGAGTCCCGTCACCATCCTGCTGCCCAGTGTCTACAGCTCACCGAGCTACTTACTCATCTGGAAAATAACGAATGTTTTTGTTTAGGCCGTCCAGACTTTCCATGTCCTCTGGTGTCAACTGGAAATCAAAAACCTGTCAGAAACGTGAGAAGACAGATTCCTTTTCCCTGCATCTATGACTGCCCCCGTCCATCTGGAGACACACATATTTATCTAGAGATGGATGCAGGTTTTGTGAGAGGATGGTCATGAACCTGGGGTTCATTCCCCTGCAGGAGTGTGGCAGCGTGTCCACTGAACACACAGTTCCCTCGGGGGTGCTGGGCGGGTGTGGGGTGGCTGGAGCAAAGGAATCCTAGACAGGGTCAAGCCCAAATCACATCTCATCTAACTCCTTTATTTCACAGCTCAAGAAATCAAGGCCATACTGTGGGGTTAAAAAACAAAACAAAACAAAACAAAATGGGATCAGGACCCAAACCTGACCTTCTGGAGTACTTTCCCAACACCAGCTTCCCTCCCTGTAGCAGCCGGAGGAGAGAGCAGTTACATACGGCCCTCCAACACATACAGAACACACAGAGCTAAGCTTTGTCCAAGCAGAGCTCAGGCGCCCCACAGATAACCCAGACCACAGGGAAGTGAGGTGCCTCCATCAGTCCCCGGATGCCCACGCCCTACCACATACCTGGTAGTTCTCCCGAATTCTCTTCTCGTTGAAGCTCTTGACCAAGGCCACCAGGCCCCGCTGCAGCTGGAAACGCAAGGCCACCTGGGCGGGGGTGCGCCCATGCTTTGCGGCGATGGTGTTGAGCACCGGATCCTTGAGGAGAATGGGGCAGTTCTTGTTCACCCTGGAAGGGAGGCAGAGATGCTCTGTGCCTGGGCTGTGTGGCCACTTGCTCTAGGGGTGCTTCCGCCTCTGTAATCTGCCTCGTTACCCTCTGGCTGTCTCTACCCCTGTTTCCTCTTCTTTTGGTAAATCCAGACAAGGACCAAAGAAAGGAAGACAGAAAAGGACTCTCAGGTATTGTTTCTTTTTTTTTTTTTTAAACATTTCTGAGAAATGTGGTAGAAGATTGGATAAGTCAAGAAGATAAATGTTTGTCCAAAGTAGGACCCAATAACCTCCCTGATTTTTTAAGAATTATTTTAGAAGAATTTCAAAAATGCTTTCAATGAATGACCTGTTTTATCAAGGGCTAAAAGGTGCATTCTTACATTGCTCTTCAAGAGATAAACTGAGACTTACAGAAGTTGTTAGTTGCCTCCTCTCACTCAACTATACTCAACTATCAACCGCCAGAATCGTGGTTTGGGCTCCCTTTGTCACTCTTGAAGGCCAGAGCTTTTGAATTGTGTGAAAATTCTCATCAGTGATTTTATTGCCTAATAAAATATTTTACTGGCAATATTTTATTGCCTAATAGTGGTATGGCAATATTTTATTGCCTAATAGTGTTATTGAGTCATGACAATGTAGGCTGGTTAAAGGGTTTCCAGAATGGATTACTCCTGCTGTCTACTGTCAACCTTCTCCCGAGGGCTGAGCAATAACTCCAGCAGCTACGGTGTCTGTGGTTAGAATAAGTGCACAGAGGTCATTACCACTCCTTCCTAAAGTCAGTCCCTAAGGCAGCGTATGCAGTCAGGATGATGTCCTTGGACTTGCAGAACTCCAGGAGTTTGCTCTGGTTGAGGTAAGGGTGACACTCCACCTGCAGAATGCCAGGCACAAAGGTTGAACCACAGAACCACAGCCACCAGACTGGTGAGGAACAGACAGGGCTGCACCACATGGTTGCAAGTGCGTTTTGTGCACACGATCGTCAACCACAGTGGTACCAGTGGAGCAGCCTGAGGCTGACCCCTGATTACTGCCCAGAGACAACACAGCATTGCTGAGAAACGTGCTCGGTGCTCAGAGGAGACAAGCTCAGGGTGAGCAGTCGCCTGACAGGCTCAGTCTCTCCGACTGGAGAGCACAAGGCAGGCTTGGGTCTCCCTCACGCACTGCTCGTGTCTACAGAGGAGCAGCTCTGCCTTTCCTAGTTATCCTCAGCCTCACACTGACCTCTTCTCTTCACAGCCGCCACTCCTGGAAACCAGTCACTCATCCTCCACATCTGAGCCATCTTCATTAGGCCAGTTTGGCTCCACAAGCCAGAGTGCTTTCCTCTTTCCCACCACACCGTACTGCAAGGTCTCTGCGTGATCCTAGGAGCCTCCAAATGCCGGGCCTGCTCTGCATCCCCGCACCTGTTCCCTTCCCTAGGCTCAGTCTTGTCCTGGGTGTAGAGGGATTTGGAACTTCTGGCCTTTGCCATCACGTGGAAAGAAATGGCTAGTTATTATTCATCAGAAACTGTTACTAGTGTCATGACCCGCACACACTGCTAGTAAGAGGTTTCTGTGCCGTAAATGGTGATCAGTGGTGCTGTCACCTGACTTTCCATCTGACTTTCTGTCTTCCTTCCATGCACCTGGAGAGCAGGAAATCCAGAACCTTTACCCAGAAAGCTAACTGCCTTTTCTCTACTTTTTAGTCCATATCTAGGTGGGTGAAGACTATTGCCCCAGGCATGGGACAGGTGGGCTGGGGACCAGCTCAGCTCAGCTCGGGACTCTTGGGCTGGCCTTGGCTAGATTCCCTTCCATCAGATCATCAGATCAATTAGGCTCAAGTTAAACCCCAGGTGGTTAGGCTGCAGGGTAGTAGTTTTCACTGTGGGGTGGGCCTGAACAGAAACAGAATGTTCTGGCCATTTTTCAAGCTGGCCACTTCCCCTTCCTCCTGATAGAAGCATGAGTGTTCACTGGGAAATCCTGGTAGGGCTTCTGGAGGTACAAGCCATGAAAGTCTGGGGACCATCCCATAGATGAGCCCCCTGGAGTCTTCAGCTCTGGGACTCGTCCACTCTGAGCCTCCAGCAAGTCAGCAGCTCTGTTTGATGCTTTCCTGCCCCACAGGGACCCTCGCAGTGGCTATGTTCCTGGGAAGCCGCAATTCTCTGCATCTGTCTGTCTGCCTCTCCAATTTTCAGAGCCACAGCTTGCCCTGTGACCTCAATCCTCTGATGGATTGAGAAAGAGTAGCTGGTTCTCCATTGGTCCAGCTTTTTCATTATTGTAAAGATGCAAAGGACAACCCCGTCGCTTCTTACAAGCCCGATCCCAGACCAGAGGTGTGCCAGAAGCACTTTCTACTGCACACCTTTCTCATTGCTTTTCCCCTGATTCTGGTGGTCAGATCAGAAGAAGCAAAGATCCGGAATGAGATGGCTTGCTGGGCCACATTAACTCTCTGGGTCACGGCCACACGTGTTTGTGGCTTGGTTAGCACCATGCACAGGGAGGAAGGGGGATGGATTGTACGCAGGTCCACAAGCCAAACCAGGACCAGGGTCCACCTGACCTCACCCACCATCCACGACGGTCTGTTCACCTCACAGGTCACAAGGAACTACACTCTGCCCTAGCTCTTTGGGCCCATGTAGACTCCCCACTAACCAATGGCCTCCACTTGGCCATGTTCTGTTGGCCCCAGAGAGCTCAGGGTCACTGCAGAGGTCACGACCACTCAGCTTCTTAATTTGTCACCACTACTCAGGTCAAAACCAGTTTCTTTACTTTCTCCAAACTCATGATACCCAAAGTGGAGCTAAACCTCTTAAGCAACACAGAACACAACTTTTTAGAACTCCCATTTGTATTTTTCATCTAAAAATAAGCCTCCCAAGTATTGAATACATAAACTGCCTCTCCCTCTCTGTCAGCCGGCCTGTGAGAGTTTTTAAAGGAGATGATGTAAACGGGGTGAGTGTGGGCCCTGCCGAGTGCAGACGGCCAGCTGCTCACCTCCCTGCTCATCTGACTTCTTACCTTATTTTCTGAGATGAGCAAGTCGTTTGTGTGGCTTATTAAAGCAGGTTTATCTTGACAAGGGGATTTCTTAAAAAAATTTTTTTTACTTGTAAATGTGTTTTTGTGTTAAAATACACATAACATAAATACACCATTTAAAAAAAAACAAGTTTACCATTTTGGCCATTTCTAAGTGACAGTTGAATGGCGTTCATGTATTCACGTTGTGGTGGGCTGATTTTGTACCATCGGGTCTCAGTGGTTATCCATGACACAGAGCTCAAAAGAATTCCCCCGTTTTCCTTTACACGGGAGTGCTCCAAATTTGCTGACCAGAGATGAGAAAGCTCAGCGGTGGGTTAGCTTTAATTTTCTAGGGCTAACCACCATAACACCTAGTCCATTACATTCCAACCTGACCCTTGGATGTTTTTTTATGAAACAATGTCGCCTTGGGACCTCTCTCAAAAACTTGCAATGCGTTCTCTTCTCTGCAGGAGAGGGGGAGGCTGCTGGGGACCTTGCTAAAAGGAGGGAAGAGGAAGCTGAGGAGGGAGAAGAGGTTGGGGGCAGATGGGTCCGGCTCACCTGGTTACAGACTGGCTTGTACTTGAGCCCTGGCTTGTTCAGGATCCTCTCCAGATGCCTGCAGTTGAAGTTGGACACGCCGATGGACTTGGTCAGCCCTAAATCCTTACACTTCTCCATGGCCTGAGGAGGAAGGGGTGTGAGGAATGACCTGTGTAACTGGCTGGGGAAGCATGATAAACCGGGGTGGGCTCGGCGTGGGGGCTGGGACTGGGAGAGAACCTGAGACAGAGCAGGAAAGACAAAGCCTCCAAAGGTGCCAGTGTCAATAAAGGGGAAGGAATTAACCATGTGGGAGAATGACAAAGAAAATAATAGGAGAAAAAAAACGAGTCAGAAGATAGAGTAAGTAAAGAAGGCAAGGCGTTCAGGATGGAGCCAAAGGGGCCAGGGTGATTTTTAGCTGACACCTAGAAACCCAGGAAACCCTGAGTGACAGCAAAACGGGCCCCAGGAGAACAGGAGGTGGCCCGGGAAGCACAGGAAGCAGGAAGGAGGCCATACCTGTCCGCCAGACCACTGGCTCCCTCTTTTCCCTTTCACCTCATTTCCTATTAAGGTTACCGAAGTCACTCTGGTTCAGTCACAGGCCCCCTTGCTGTTCTTGAAAACAACAGGTTCTCTCTCTCCTTAAAAACTGGGCCTTGGGAGCTTTGGAGTGGCTCAGTTGAGCGTCTGCCTTTGGCTCAGGTCATGACCCCGAGGTCCTGGTATTGAGTCTGGCATCAGACTCTCTCTCCCTCTGTGATCCCTCTCTCTTGCTCTCACTCTTTCTCAGGTAAAAACAACAGCACAGGACTTGGCCTTCCTTATACCTGCATCACCCTCCCTCCAGGCACCCACATGATCAGTTCCCTCACTTCCTGCAGATCTTTGCCCACTGTCGGCTGGCCCAGGAGGGCCTACCCTGCCCATCTGCATCCCGTAGCTGCCCTGGCGTTCTCAGTCCCCTTAGCCAGCTCTCCCTTCCCATTCCGCCCCCGTGCCAAGCACCTTCCTATCCATGCGCCCGGAGATCTTGATTTGCTCCCTGAAGCAGCCTGAGAACTTAAAAATACTCAGCACTGAGTACACCATAGGCACTTAAGAAGTACTTGCTGAGGTATTGAATGGGGGAGATGTGAAGCCAAGGCAGAGGGACATCCAGGGACTTGTCCAAGGCTACATGGGAGCAGAATTGGACAAGACGCACATCTCCCGAGTTCCTTGTCCACCCTCTGTCTCCCAGCACGCAGGGACATAGGTAGCATCTTTGGGGCTGTACTCACCTCCCATGTGGCACAGAGATCTACTGTGTCAAAAATGACTTCTCCATCTTTGTCCTTTGGGATAAATTCCTCCCCAGGCTGGGACACAGAAAAGAATGAGAGGTTGTATAAAGCTATCTTTGGCCTCATCCAAGCCATCTAGAGCCTGCAGACCTTGAAGCTCATGCAACAATCTATTCTTGTTCTTGAAAGAAATGGAAAGATTAGGGTAAAGGGAAAGAAAGTACCTGGAGGAAGTATCCTTCCTAGAAAGTATGTTTTTAACTGCTAAGGGTTTAATAAATATTGTTTGTGTCAAGAGCAACTTGAGACACCCAAGACCCCATCCTTGAGAGAAGTGAGAGTGGTGCCAGTTGGGAGCTCTTTGGCCCCCAACCCTGTGGGACAGGAGGCTCCCACCCCTGCTTTCCACCTGAAGGGGCCTTACAAGAGCGTGACTCATCCGCATCTCCAGGCCTGAGTTCCAGACTCACTAAATCTCTTGTATGCCAACTGGTCTCCATACTGCGACATTCCCCAGACAGGAAAGGACAGAGGCTGAGATTCAGGAACATGGGATCTTAAAAATACAGGCAATGCAGTCACAAGATTGAAGCAAAGCCATGGAAACCAGTGAACTCTCTTCACTCAGGGGCTGGAAGGGAATATTATAGCAGAAAAGAAGGGGAATCTCAAAAGTATTATGCATCTTTCCTCCTCATCTTTATTAACTATATCCTCTGTTGTATTCAGCTACTAGTTGTTACGCTGACCATCAATGTAAAATAACTTTTGCTAACCTTCAAAGCTACTGGGAAATGAATGAGATAAAGATTCACATAGCTCAACCCAAGCTTCCTCAGCGATGTGTCCAGGCTGGTTCGAACCAATTCTGGGCGGAAGAAGGTTCCCCACACCTGCAGCAGTGGAAGAGAAGTGGTATGAGATGGGTTTTTTTAAGAGTCAATAGGAGAAATTAATAAAGTACAAAATTCACTATTTGCGATGCAGACATGATACTATATAAAGACTCCACCAAAAAAAAAAAAAAAACTATTAGACCTGATAAATTCAGAATTCAGTAAAGTGGCAGGAGACAAAATTAATATATAGAAATCTGTTGCATTTCTATACAATAAGGATGCAGTAGAAAAAGAAGTTAAGAAAAACAATCCCATTGACAATTGCACAAAAAAAGAATAAAATTCTTAGGAATAAATTTAATCCAGAAGATAAAAGACCTGGTTTCTGAAAATTATAAGACCTTGATGAAAGAAATTAAAGATGACACAAAGAAATGTAAAGACATACCATGCTTGCAGATTGGGGGAATTAATATTGTTAAAATATCCATACTACCCAAAGCAGTGTACAGATCCAATGAAATCCTGCTCAAAATACCAACAGCATTTTTCACAGAACTAGAAGAAACAATCCTAAAATGTGTCCATACTTATGGACAAGTCTCCTTACATGTCTCTAAAATGTGTCCATACTTATGGACATGTCTCCCGAGGCATGGGAAACAAAAGCAAAAGTAAACCACTGAGACTACACCAAAGTAAAAAGCTTCTGCACAGCAAAGGAAACAATCAACAAAACAAAAAAAGCAACCTATTTAATGGGAAAAGATATTTGCAAATGACATAGCTGATAAGTGGTTAATATCACAAATACATAAAGAACTTACATAACTTAACACCAAAAGAACAAATAATCTGATTAAAAATGGCAGAAGACCCACATGGACATTTTTCCAAAGAAGGCATGCAGATGGCCAACAGGCACATGAAAAGATGCTCAACACCATCAAACATCAGGGAAACCCAAATCAAAACCACAATGAGATACCACCTTGTGTCTGTCAGAACAGCTAAAATCAACACCATGAGAAACAATAGGTGTTGGCGAGGACTCGGAGAAAGGGGACCCTCCTGCACTGTTGGTGGGAGTGCAAACTGGCACAGCTGCTGTGGATAACAGTATGGAGGGAGCTTCCTCAAAAAACTAAAACTATAAATGCCATATGATCCACTACTCTAATTCCATTTTGGGGTATTTACCCAAAGATAATGAAAACACGAATTCAAAAAAGATACATGCATCCCTATGTTTATTGCAACATTGTTTACAACAACCAAGATATAGAAACAATTCAAATGTCCATTGATAGATGAAAGGACTAAAAAAATGGGATATATAGGTATATATGTAAAATGGAATATTGTCCATAAAAAGTGAAATCTTGCTATTTGTGACAACATGGATGGACCTAGAGGATATTATGCTAAGTGAAATACCTCAGACAGAAAAAGAAAAATGCTATATGATTTCACGTATATGTGAAATCTGAAAGCAAAACGAATGAACAAATGAACGGAAACAGATTCATAAATACAGAGGAGAAAATGGTAGTTGGTAGTTGCCAGAAGGGAGGGGAGGCAGGGAATGGGTGAAACAGGTGAAGGGGGACCAAGGAGTATGGATTTCCAGTCATACAGTAAGTAGATCATGAAGAATGGAGAGTATATACAATCAATAATGTTGCAACAGTGTTGTATGGTAACGGACGGGGGCTACACTTATCGTGGTGAGTGTTGTGTAATGGAGACTTGTCAAAACACTCTGTTGTATGCCTGGAGCTAATAAATACTGTATTTCAACTCTACTTCCATAACAAAAATGCTCTATCTTTTAACTCCATGTCAATAAAAAAAATTGTTTTATTTTAATATGGTTTAGTTGATTGACTCATCTGGGGCTTGCTGCCTCATTCTAGCCTGAGTGGAACCAAATAAAACTATTTGATTCAGCTTTAAAAAAGAAAGAAAGAAAGAAAGAAAGAAAGAAAGAAAGAAAGAAAGAAAGAAAGAAAGAAAGAACCTTTAGGAGGAATTAATCAAATGGCAAATAAACAGCAACCACAGATCCACATGCCATCATTGGGAAGTGACAAATCATCCCACCAAGCTTCTACATTCTGTATCCTTGTAGCTTCTGTTTCATACGGAATGAAGACAATGAGGTAGAAATGGACAAATACGGCCCTACACAGAGGGTGTAAAACTCTAGAACGTAAAGAAATTACTTGGTCTGCCTGTACAGAATGCATCCCTGGGTCCTACCTCAAACACAATAAATCGCAGTACCTGGAGACTGAGCTGGGGAGTTGCATTTTAAACAAGAACCTCAAGAAGTTGTGATTCAGAAAATTGCACCTTGACTGTATTAAATGATCCAGTGTTCCAGAGATAATTGGACCCTATAGGGATTTGGGGGGAGGAGGGCACTTTAGTCAGCTTATTTTAGGAAGTAATAGCGTAAGGAAAATCAACCAAATTTGCTAAAGCCAAGGAAACAAAAGGATCCAATGGAAAGGAGACAAGCAGATGAGAGAAAGATGGTGATACCATGTCTAACACAGTCATAAAGGAAGCTTCATCTTCTGGAGTGAAAGGGAGAGATACCTGTTCACAGACCTGCCTAGGATTCACTTGTGTGGACTTCAACCCTCTCTTCATGGATACTTCACCTCACATTTAAATATTTGGTTCCAGGGCGCCTGGGTGGCTCAGTTGTTAATCACCTGCCTTCGGCTCAGGTCATGATCCCAGAGTCCCAGGATCGAGTCTCACATTGGGCTCCCTGCTCAGTGGGGAATCTGCTTCTCCCTCTGACCCTCACCCCAATTGTTCTTTCTCTCTCTCTCAAATAAAATAAAATCTTAAAAAAAATTATTTCTAGCAGTAATCGGCTCAATGAACACTACTAGAATAATGCCTCTTGGATTCCCTTTCCAGTCTGAATTAAGCATGTAAGTTCTTCTATTTGTTTCAGATATGATATCCATGGATATGAGGAATAGTAGGAGAAAATGGCTCAAAAGTTTAAATATATATATATGTGTGTGTGTGTGTGTGTATGGACGTCTGGGTGGCTCACTTGCTTAAGCGTCTAAGTTTTTTTTTTCTTTTTCTTTTCTTAACTTATTATGTTATGTTAGTCACCATACAGTACATCATTAGTTTTTGATGTAGTGTTCCAAGAGTCACTGTTCATGTCCAAATCTTGATTTTGGCCCAGGTTAAGATCTCAGGTCATGAGATTGAGGCCTGAGCAGGCTCTGTGTTCAGCGGGGAGTCTGCTTGAGAGTGTCTCTCTCTCTGCCCCTCCCCCTGCTGACGTGCACGTACACACTCTCACTCTCTAAAATAAATAAATTTTTGTTAAAAAGTTAACAACAGGGCCGCCTGGGTGGCTCAGTGGGTTAAAGCCTCTGCCTTCGGCTCAGGTCATGATCTCAGGGTCCCGCTGAGCAGGGAGCCTGCTTCCCCCTCTCTCTCTCTCTGCCTGCCTCTCTGCCTAGTTGTGATCTCTCTCTGTCAAATAAATAAATAAAATCTTTTTAAAAAAAAGTTAACAACATACATAAGTACTTTTACAAACATTAATTTCATCCTTGTGGCAGTTCTCTTTTCCAACTTTATAGAAAAGAGACCTTCCACGTCATTATTCACAGATACCGAGGGAACTATACACAGAACCTTCGTAGTGTAGAATATGTCCTCTCTCTTCACGGTGCTGTCAGCAATCTTCTTCCAGATGGCCCTCCCGATCTCTTCCTCGTTTTGATACAGATAAGCCGAGTCAATATGGCGGTAGCCTATGTCAATTGCTGTCTTGACGGCCTCTTCTACCTCACTCTTCGGGACCTAGAAGACCACAAAGACAAGGACCTACTGGGTTCCAGAATGGCTGGTTCCACAAGCAGAGGTATTCCGCAGAACCTATTGTTTTGCTAAGGGCTGAGAGCTAGAGGTGACAAAGGTAAATATTTAGAACCTTAGCGTAAATGTTTAACAACTGATTCTCTAAAGAGAAGAAGTCCTGATTTATGGCATTTGCTAGTTTCTGTGGTGTAAATCCTATACCACGGCTAACTTCAAGCTACGAACATTAGGAAAAGGTGCTCACCATCGGATCTCGTGAGCCCATGAGCTGGCCCAGCTTGTCACTGGTTTTAATCCCCCTGCCTCTGGATTTACATGATCTGTGGGTTTAGCCAATCTATAGAATTATAGTCCAAGTTATTTCAGTCTGTAAGAGATTATTACACTGATGGCAATTCAGGAGTCTAAGACGCAAATTATCTCTCAATGCAATGAAAGTGCAACTGTACACAGAATAAAATAATGATTTACCTATGGCAACTCAGAAAAACACTTCAAACAACCTTTGAAGAAGGATAGAGATGTAAAAGAAAGTAAACTATTCTTTCATGCAAAAATACCTCGTCATTAAGTGTGTTGTGTTATGGCGGTCTGTAGGTGATACTTTGTCCTATAACCAGGAAACGACTTGGTTATTGTTCTTAGCTGCCTACTGTTCTGCTGGACTGCCAGGATGGGCTTTTCAAGTTATCTGTAATTTCCCCTCTCTCTGACCCTCCTCTCCCTCACTTAAAAGGTCTCCTGGGGATATTTTTTCATTCGTAACTCCCAATGACACAGACTTAAGAGCCCAGTCCGAGGAAAGGCAACGCTCTGTGCTAGCGTTCTTGCTGGGTCCTCAGTATGACGTCTCATGTGACTCGTGCTACAGAATAAATCCTACAACTTTCTTCTAAATAATTATAACCTCCTCCGCCAAGAACCACTGACAATGCGCTCTTGTAAATTTGCAATGTTCAAACGAAAGACATGCATGGCGCTCAGTGTTCCAAGCAGAGAGAGAATTTCCAAGGGCCACTTGGCTCTCCCCATGGCACAATCTTAACAACCTGGCCTCTAAGAGACTATTTCCATTCCAGACCACCAACACACTCTCTAACATGAATCTTGTCTCTCTCCAGGTCCTTCAGCGGCTGAGATTTCTCTAGGTATTCTATGGCCGCTGGCGGACAGAGAGCTCTTGGACCCTAGGCGTTACAGAGAAACTTCATGACAAGCAAGCTTGCTGTTAAGTCCCTGCCTCCTGGGTCTCATCGATTCCAACAGACTGTGAATGGCTACACGGGACAGCAAGTGAGAGGAACAGAAACAACCTTGCCCACTCCTGGACTGCTGACAGATGCCACACTTCCATGCCCCTTGATCCTTGGACAAGTAGCATCAGAGTCACTGGGTAGCTTGTTAGAAATGTGGGTTTTTGAGCTCTATCCCAGATCTACTCATTCAGAACCTTTGTGGGTGCAGCCCCCAATCTGCATTTTTCACAAGATCCTCAGGTGTTTTATGCCTATTAAAATTTTAAAAGCACTGACTTAATGCACTAAATAATCTAACCTGGAAAGAAGCAGCTTGCTAATAGAGAAAATGAAGCCCTGGTGCATTTCCTGAATTATGATTCTGGTAAGGACCCTTGTCTGCTACTCTCCGCCTCCAATGTCATTTGACTACCTTACTAGGAGCAGAAGTGCCAAGTCCCAGCATAGGCATGAGGTGTCCGTCATTCAGCCTTACAGAGCAAACTTTCATTGGATTCATCTCTTTGCACTCTTCTGGTTTTTTATTAAAAGAAATCTGCCAAGGGGAGAAATAATAAAATTGCTACTTTTTAAACAGCTTTAATGAGATATAAGTCACATACCATAAAACCATCCCTTTAAATTACCCAAGTCGGCAGTTTTTAGTCCATTCACAGAGTTGTGACCGATATACCATTTTAGAACATGTTCCTACCCTTTCTAAGACCCAATACTCATAGAAACTCATAGAAACAACTCCCCATTCCTCTCTCCCTTCAACCCCTGGAGGCCTCTTTCTGTCTCTTTGGAACTGCCTATTCTGGAAATTTTATGTAAATGCATTCATACCCTCTGTGGCATTTTGTGACTACTTGCATTCACTTAGCCTAATGTTTTCAAGGCCAATCCACGTCATAACATGTAATGTACTTCATGCTTTCTAATGGCTAACTAACATCCCTTAGTACAGATGTACCACATGCTTTTTATCCATTCATCAGTTGACAAACATTTGGGGTTTTTTTTCTGCTTTTTGCCTACTGGGAATAATGCTTGAGTAAACATCCATGCACATGTTTTTGTGTGGACATACATTTCCAGTTCTCTTGGGTCTATACGTAAGCCTGGAACCACTGAGTCATACAGCAAACCCAGGTTTATTGTTCTGAGAATCTGCCAAGTGTTTTCCAAAATGGCTGTACCGTTGACACTCCACTTCTTGAGAATTCCAATTTCTCCACATCTTCTCCAGCATTCGTTGCCCACTGTTTTTTGTTAATAGCCATCCTGACGGTATGAAGTGATGCTGTGGTTTTGATCTGCATTTCCCTGATGATGTGCGATGTAGAGCATCTTTTCATGTAACCCTTAGCTATTTGCTTATCTTCTTTGGGGAAATGTCTACTCGAGACCTTGCCCGTTTTTGAATTGGTTATTAGTTTCCTTTACTAACAGGTTGTAGGAGTTCCTTATATATTTTGGAAATGAACTTCTTATCAAATATATGGTTAGCAAATTCCAAATACTTCCATTCCAAAGAACGCCTTTTCTCTCTGTTGATGGTTTCCTTTGCTGTACACACGTTTTTTTATTTGATGTAGTCCCACGTGTTTATTTTTGTCTCATTGCTTGTACTTCTGGTATCTTATTTACGAAATCCTGATCAATATCATTAAGATTTCCTCCTATGTTTTCCTCCATAGTCTTAAAGTTCTAGGTCTTACTTTTAAGTCTTTCAACCATTTTGAGTTGAATTTGACGACCCCAATCCATTTGTATTATTCTAACATGGACTTAGAATGATTAATCTCTGATCAATTTTGTTCTTAAGCTATTTAATGAAGCTCTAACCCTGGGCCTACCTCCATTTCTAAGTTTGAGTTGATGAATTAAAAGAACAGTTGAGGGGCACCTGGGTGGCTCGGTTGGTTAAGCGTCTGCCTTCAGCTCAGATCATGATCCCAAGGGCCTGGGATGGAGCCCTGTGTAAGGCACTCTGCTCAGCAGGGAGTCTGCTTCTCTCTCTTCCTCTGCCCCTCCCCCGGCTGTGCTCTCTCTTTCAAATAAATAAAATCTTTAAAACTAAATAAATAAATAAGCAATTGAAACCCAGGCATTATCTGCTTCATGATATGTTAACAAGACAAAATGCACAGGCCACCTAAACAGTAGTTTTGGAAAAAAAAATAATAAGAATGATGTTTATTCAGATTTTATGATGCTATGGAAAATTATTAAATACATATATTTTGAAGCCTTATCTGATGTTTCCAAGCCAGTTTCTCAAAAGGCTGTGCCACGTCGGTGTTTACACACTGATCAACAGAGCATGAAAATTCCTAGTTCCTTGACCCTGTGGCAGTATTGTGATACCTCAGCGAAAAATTTCTAAACAGACTCTTGGACTATCACCCTCCTTTTCTAGCATGTACTATCCACAGTACAAGAGGCTGACTAACGCTGTCAGGTTAATTTCTGGATTCCGACTCTGTTAATCTTTTCCTCTCCTCTCCTGCCTAAATCGGGTACATTAAAGCATTTCCTTCCTCTCTCCTCTCAAAAAGGCACTGGACTCCCAGGAAGTCTATTCCGCCTTCCACCTTGCTTACACATCAGAGACAGGCATGACACGTTTGCTAACTACACACACCGTGGCCATCTGTGCAATCCATCCCAATAGGAAATCAACACGCTGCACATCTGAAACACAAGCGGTATACGCCAATGATACCTCAATAAAAATTACGTTTCTGTGGGGCAAGAAAGAAAATGCATATTAAAAATGAAATACCACTCTCATGAGTCTGTTTAAATTGTGTATTCCCTAAAAAGATCAGCTACAGAGATGGTGACATGAACGTAGTGAATGAAGATTTCACTGCGGAAACAATGCATACACGGGGTATGAAACTCCGAATGTTGACGATTACTGTGACAGTTATTATTTTATTGTGATTTTGGACTCTGTTCTGGAGTACCCAATTTTTAAGATCCCTAAATGCTAATGTATTATTTTTGAAGAAACAGATTAAAATTTATTTTAAAAAGTCCCTGGGTTTGTAGATTTTATTGCGTAATTGGTCACAACGAACTTGCCAGCAGGTACCCAGCCTGACCAGATTTGGAATCCCCAAAGGCTTTCTCAGCCTGTCCCCTCCTGGCCTCCTCTGCTCAGACCTCTCCTGTCATTACCCTCTTGCCTTGGCCCCACTACCTAGAATGGCTCCATCTCTGCTTGCTGAGTTTAGAAATTCTTCCAAGACCTTTGAGCTTACCCAAAGCCAGCTCAGCAACTGGCACCTTCCCCTTGGGTTGTATAGTTCATACCAGGGATTGTTCAATTATGAAACACTTGTGGGTATTTTCTGGACTTTGATACAGACTGCTGCCTTGATTCAGGACCTGAAATTCCTATGGGTACTGATTCTCAAAGCTCTCAAACCTCAGTTTCTATTTGCCTGATTTCTCCCTATTATTTAAATTTCCTTTAGCCAACTTCTTTAATAAAGTAACTGTCAACATAGAATAAGATATTAGTGGTCGACAATACCTCACCCTGTAAGAAACGTTCAGTTGGAAACATGATGAGCTCATACTTCTAAAATTCTATTTAAGATACTGTTTCTGGTCCTGTCTCTCCTAAGGGAGGCAAACAGGATCCAGGAGCGTCTCCACCTACCCCCAATTCTCATGTGTGATACCAGTAACCAGAGTTTACTCGCTAGCTCTGTTTCCTCTGAAAGTAAATCTGCCTTCTGAGAGAGTAGATATTCGTATCTTGCATCCTGAAAATTCAGCACAGAACTGAAACCAGAACTGAGGCAATCGAAAACCGGAAATCGAGGCTTACCATGCCAGCAACAACGCTGATAAAACAAGGTATCCAAGGAAGGAAGCCTGTCAGACCACCTGTGACACTTTGAAAATGAAAATAACATTAACATCGTTATTTGGAGGAAACTGGTTCTATGAAAAGCCATGAGTTCGCAATTAGAGTGAAAAAGAGGAAATTAGTATAAAGGTTAGGAAAAAGGCGGTTGAAATATTAAAGTAGGATGAACACAGATAAAATATGTTGAATTTGTCACTGGTTTTACTAAGTGAGGGAAGGCAAATGGACGTGACTGTTTTTTTCCATGGCAGGTGATAGTACAGAGCTCTGATCTTCTCCATCTGTGCAAGCAGGACATGGAGGCAAGCCCAGCAGCTCTGAAAGGGCGCCAAGTGGGAAAGATGGTGGCAGGCATGTGGGCAGAAGTGTGCCAAGCACAGGAACAATGGATCCACCAGTGGCTGTACAAATGGCACGTCCGTGCTCTGGTGCTCAAGAACAGAAAGAGCTTCACAGTGAGGAAGAGAGGCGATGACCTCCCATGGATGTCATAACACTGGTAAACAGAACCCCTAAAAGGCAGGTCCATTCATGAGACACCAGGTTGCAAAAATACTAAAACCTGTAAGGAAGGACAAAAAGCGCAGGCACTTTTCCACGTGTGTAGAAAATAAGGAGGTTACCATAAAAAAGGAGGTCATTTTGGTGATCAGTGGCTTGGATTTGAATCAATTGGGGAGAGACAACTGTATCAGGGCCCTAACCAAAGATAAATGTATCATCCAAATCCCGCCATTTAGGCTAATTTTTTGGTGCCAAAACGTTTTACTTCCGAATACTAAAAGTTGGAAGTCACATAATTTTCAAGTATCTTGAAATATTATCCATCTTTTGGATTTTTCAGCCATTAAAAAACATGTCTAAGTCACTTTCAGCTTGTTGGCAATACACACACATGCAGTAAGCCCTGCCACTTTGTGGGTCTCTGCTCCATAGCATTAGTGACATTTCTAATATCTACAATTATCTTTCTGTCAATGAGGTCTTAACTGTGATAAAATCTGCATAGCAATGATGATCATTTTGACGGTCCAGTGCGATTAAATAGATTCACAACATTTTGCAACCATCAGCACTAACTCTATGCAAGACATCTTTGTCATCCCCAACAGAACTCTGCACCTGTCCAAAATTTCCTTCTGGCTAGTTCACTACTGAAGTGTAGAAACACAACTGATCTTATCCTCACAGTAATTGGCATCAAACACTGTGTAGCATTTCCCACCGCTTTTCTTTCCTTTCCTTATATCCCTTATATTCACTATAACACACCTGCTAATTTCAAATACTGAAGAGCTCTGATGGCCAAGGACCAAAGGAAAGCTGGTTTCATGTGAACTTCAAAGCAGTGGTTCTCAAAGCGGAGTCACAAAACCCACGGAGGCCCCTGCGGTCCCTTTCTGAGGCACAAGAAAAAGACTATCTTCGTGATACCAAGGTGCTCTTTTCCTTTTTTATCCTCATTATCTCATATGTCTACAGTGGAGTTTTCCAGAGCTTTACGTGGTGTGGGTTGTTGTACCAGATGGAATGCAGAAGAGGATTGGATATTCCAGCTGTCTTCTGTTTGGTCACTCATTCAACTTTCAAAAAATATCATACAATATCACTCTTGATCCCTAGTGGGCTTTTGCTTGGGAAAATATTTTTATTTTTCATAAAATGTCCTCTTCATGTTTCTGTGTCACAGGCTTGTGATTTTTTAAAGGAAGCAATACATAAATATTTAACCTTTCCTCAGCTTGATTTCCAATATAGTACGCTACAAATGCCAAACTCACAGAAGCAGAGAGTGGGTTCATGCTTACCAGGCTGGCGCTATGTGGGGGAGAATGGGCGAAGGTGGTAAGGGGGCACAAACTTTCTTATGTCAAATGAAAATGTTCTGGAGATCCAAACAGTGTGGTGACTCTAGTTAATCATGCCGTTTTGTACCCTTGAAAATTGCCAAGATAGTTAATGTTAAAAGTTCTCACCACCCCTCCCCAAAAGAAACTGTGCAAAGTGGTAGATGTAGTAATTAACCTTGCCACAGCAATCATTTTGTAACACATTTGCAAATCAAATAATGACACAGCCTTAAACTTACACAAGGTTACCTATCAGTTACATCAATAAACTAGAAATGTATACAGAAGTTAAATTATCTTAGAAGATGCAGTGTGAATTTTCCAAGAACAGCAGCGATTTTCTGTACTATAAGATGGTACAATCATTTTACTGAAATCTAATTTAAAAAAAAAAGTGTCTTACTGTGAAAATAGACATACTTTAGAATTCACTAACTAGAGTACAATTGTCCTAAAGGATGCAAATATAATGCAAAAGAAAAGAATATACTAGAATACACTAGAGACTTCTGTCATTGACTAGGTACAAGACAAATACACAAACCTTGCACAAAAGCACCAAAAAATGGAAATGAGGAAAATATTGCCTGCATTCCAATCATAACAACTTCAAAATACTTAGGAACAAATCTAACAAGAGTAATGGAGCTTCTACGGAAGAAAAAAATAAAGCATCTTTGAAAGCATAGAATAATTTCTGAACAAGTGAAAATGTAAGCTATGAGAAATTTTTGGACAGTTTATTAAAATTTAAATTCTCATAAAATAATGTATATACCCAAACAATTATGATTCAAATTCCTCAAGAATTCTAACTTTTAAAATCATATACAAATTTTTCTGGTATATATATTAAAAAAATTAAGGCCAGAGAGAAAATTCATAAAAAGAAAATTCACAGAAATTATCAGTGATGGACACCTGCTTGACCGGATCTCAGAACTTATTACTAAGCCAAGATTCCCTAAATAATCATATTGGTGCTCATCCATCAAAAAGAATGAAATCTTGGCATTTGCAAATATGTGGACAGAACTAGAGGGTATTATGCTACGAAATAAGTCAATCAGAGAAAGACAATTATCATATGATCTCACTCATATGCGGACTCTAAGAAACAAAACAGATGAACATAGAGGACGGGAAGGAAAAATAAAAGAAGATGAAATCGGAGAGGGAGACAAACCATGAGAGACTCTTAACTCTAGGAAACCAAGGAGGGTTGCTGGAGGGGAAGGGAGGTGGGGGATGGGTAACTGGGGGATGGGCGTGAAGGGGGGCACGTGATGTGATGAGCACTGTGTATTGTATAAGACTGATGACTCACTGACCTCTACCTCTGAAATACAGTATGTGTTAATAATACAGTATATGTTAATTGAATTGATTTTAAAGAAATAAAAATAAAATTAAATAATAATTGTATTGGTATAAGGTTACACAAAAATTCTCGTGGAACAGAGTAAAAAATTTAGAATTAAATTTTATTTATATGAGAATTTAAGATATGATTAATGAGGGGGGTATAATCCAGAAGAGGGTAATGAATTATTCAGCACAGGATACTGGAAAAAAGTGCCTATCCACCTCAAAGAAAATAGGACTGGATTCCCTTCTTATACTATATATGTAAATAATTCTAGATACACAAATGATATAAAATAGAAAAAGGGAGAACAAAAATACTTAAAAGAAACTCCAAGGCACAGTCTTGTGTGCAAGATGACTTTGTTAAGGAGACCAGAAAACCAAATGCTATGAAAGAAGAAATAAACGTTGTTGAACAAACAAACGTCAAAACTTGCACGACAAAGTTCACTTTCATCAGAGTTAATAGGCAAACAATAAATCTGGAAAATATTTATCAACTGGATGAAAGGGAGCTTATCTATATAACCTCAAAGAGCTCTTAGAAATTGGCCAAAGGGGCGCCTGGGTGGCTCAGCGGGTTAAAGCCTCTGCTTTCGGCTCAGGTCATGATCCCAGGGTCCTGGAATCGAGCCCCTCATTGGGCTCTCTGCTCAGCAGGGAGCCTGCTTCCACCTCTCTCTCTGCCTGCCTCTCTGCCTACTTGTGATCTCTGCCTGTCAAATAAATAAATAAAATCTTAAAAAAAAAAAAGGAAGAAGAAATTGGCCAGAAAAAGACAAATAGTTTTCAAACATGTTGAAGAGGACGGATGGCACAGAAGAGCGAGCCAAATGTCCCCAGAGATAAAGGACATTCTGATTCACCAGCCGTTAGGGAAAAGCTCCACTGAGTCATGACAGATGTCAGCTTGAAGCCATCCGAGGAGCAGAAATGAAAGCGCCTCGTGCTGTCCATCCTGGGTGGGAGCGAGGAGAAGAGCGCGATCTCGTCTGCTTTGAAAAGGTACTGAAAACTGCATTTGCAAAGGAGCCCAGCAGCAACAACTGAAACTGAAAGCCAAGAGAGGGAGAGAGAGAAGGAAAGTTTAAAGGTCATTCCATACTCACAGCGGCCAAGGGGTGTGCACAGCCTGCCACTCGGGGCACTCGGCGGGGAGCCCTGGGGTTGCAACCATATGACGGGCAGAGCCATGGACACCAAGAGCTTATATTGTGGCTTTCCAGAAAGGATCAGGCAAGGTGAGCAGGCTTGGGATTGGCTGGCTCCACTGAACATTATACGGTGTTCACTGTGACCAGAAAGGCACTGTGACCAGCCTGGAGCTATTTGGTGCCTCGACACACTTCTGGAGGGGCCAAGGTCTACCAAGAAACACCAAGTTCCCATTTTGTGGGTGTTAAAATGTCAGCTTACCAAAATTTAAAGTCTGTTTGGGGTGCCTGGCAGGCTCAGTCGGTGGAACGTGCGACTCTTGATCTCAGGGCCATGAGTTCAAGACGCACATTGGGCGAAGAGACTACTTTTAAGAGAATAATGATAAAGTACGTTTACATAGTTGGCCCCATTATACTGTAGCATCCCATGGCCATTAGGTGCACTCAGGGAATGGGGTGGAGATCGCCAGGGAGATTTCGGTAGTCGAGTGACAGAAGACACTTGGAGGGTATAGGGTGAGATCTGGTCACCATGCATCCATAGCAGGGAAGAAAATCACAGCATGGGTCTCTTCCTAGGATGGTAATTATGAGCCCTTGATGCACATCGCAGAGCTGGGCAGCCCCCTGGGCGAGTATGAAAATAAATCCATGACACACTGGGAAATGTTCAGGGCCTAGAGTGACACGGAAGGAAGGGAAAGTACGTGAAACTTGCTTTACGGACAGCAAGTCCCTCACAGGGTGACTCTGCCCACATCATTCCTGTACATGTAACAGGAGGTTCTGACAATTTTCCAGACACTTCCATGGTCAGCCTGGGTGAAGCCAAGAGCTACATCATTTCAGCAAGTGAGCCTTGTCCTTGATTTAAGAGGCCAATGGCTGGTGGTTGTCTCCATCATTCGAGTGATTAAAGCCTCAGATATTTGCCCTTTGGGCTCTGCAAGTTTTGGCTGCCATGCCCTCCTCTTTGGAACAGGCAACACCACTTCCTGAGGAATCTACCTTCGCTGGGTGAACCATCCTTCCTCCCTGGATGAGTCCTGCACCTAGCATTGGCAGAAGGATGCTGGCCAGATGCGGGTGGAGATCCCGGAGTGATGAGGGAACCAGGGAATGGCAGCGGATCCATGAGAAAGGGGGTCACAATATGGCGGCATGGAGGGTGAGGGGAGGCATGAGTTCCAGTTCCACAGAGTGCAACGCAAAGGTTACTGCCAAGCTAAGGAGCCTTGCCTACTTGGCTGCGTTCTAGAACTGCAGGGTTCTTCTCTGCACGCCGCGTTGGATACAGGGGCCATTCATCTTGGAACCTTCTTAGAGGCTCAGAAACGAACTGCTCTTTACTTCTGTGGGACTGAAAACTAGGCTGAAATGAAACAGTCACTTCCCTATGCAAGTAACTTCAAAAACCATTTCCCCCAAGATGACTCCACGTGGCTTTGTGCAATGAAGTCTGGCAACCTGCTCATCTAGTTCAAATGGCCTCATTTCCCATTCGAGTTCACCTTCATAGACCTTGAAACTGTCAAAAACACTGACATCTAGACTAGACTGGTATCAGACCCTTTAACAGTTGTGTCATAAAAGAGTCACAATATCTCACTCTTACCAGATGCTCAAAAAGTTTTTTTTTTAATTAATGGGCATAAGTTGTGAGAAGGACTAGGAATAGGACTGTATGGTTTTTTGTTCTTATTAATAGATGATATTTTTTAGAATAGTTTTGGATTTATGAAAAAAAATGTACATAAAGTACAGAGAGTTCCAATTTCCTCTCCCCCGCTCCTCCCTGCCCCCAGCTAAGTTTTCCTTTTATTAGTGTCTTGCCTGACTGTGGGACATTTGTTACAATTGATGAGCCAATATTGATTCACTATTATTACCTAAGGTTGGAAGTTTGCCATAGGGTCGACTCTGTGGTTGAACTGCTCTATGAATACTGAAAAATGCATAAAGACATGTATCCACCATCACTGTATACATCACTCTGAAGAGTTTCACTGCCTTACTGCCCTAAATCTCCCCCGTGCTCCACCCATCCATCCTCCCCTTTCTCTCTTCTTCCTAATCCCTGGAAACTATTGATCCTTTTACTGTTTCAAAAGTTTGGCCCTTTCCAGTGTGTCAGACAGTTGGAATTATAGAGCATTGCAGCCTTGTAAGACGGCTTTTTTACTCAGTAATATGCATTTAGGGTTCTTTTCACATCCTGAGACTTCATTTCTTCTTATTACTGAGTAAGATTCTATGGTATGAATGGAATTATGTATCCAGATCCTCTCTACATACTTTGGCAATTAAGAAAAGCTGCTACAAACATCTGTGTGAAGTTTTCTGTGTGGACTTAAGTTTTCATCTGATTTGGGTAAATGCCAAGGAACAATTGGCAGATCCTATGGTGAGAGTATATTTAGTTCTATAAGAAACAGCCAAAGTGTCTTCCAAAGTGGCCAGACCATTTGCGTTCCCACCAGCAGGGAATGAGCATTCCTGTTGCTCCCCAGCCTCATCAGCATCTGATGTTGTCAGCATTCCAGATTTGGGCCATTCTAGCAGGTGTGTAATGGTAGCTCATTTTTTTTTTAATTTGCAATTCTATAAAGACAAATGATGTTGAGCAACTTTTCATAAACTTATCTGTATATCTCCTTTGGGGATGTGTCTGTTCGGATCTTATGCCCATTTTAAAACTGGGTTGTTTGTTTTCTTACTGTTGAGGCTTTAAACAGCTTTGCACATTTTGAACACCGATCCTTTATTATTTTTTTAAGTTTTTTTTTTTTAAGATTTTATTTATTTATTTGACAGAGAGAGAGAGATCACAAGTAGGCGGAGAGGCAGGCAGAGAGAGAGGAGGAAGCAGGCTCCCCACTGAGCAGAGAGCCCGATGCGGGGCTCGAACCCAGGACCCTGAGATCATGACCTGAGCTGAAGGCAGAGGCTTAATCCACTGAGCCACCCAGATGCCCCCACCGATCCTTTATTAAATAAATGTTTTACAAATATTTTCTCCTAGTCTGTGGCTTGTCTTCTCATTCTCTTTATGGTGCCTTTCACAGAGCAGATATTTTTTAAATTTTATTTTAATGAATGCTAACATTGATTTTTTTTTTCTTATAGGAATTGTGCACTTGGTGTTATGCCTAAAAAGTGATCACTGTGCCCAAGATCATCTAGATTTTCACCTGTTATCTTCTAGGGTTATATAATTTTACTTTTGCAAGTAGGTCTACAATCCATTTTGAGTTAATTTTTGTGAAACGTCTAAGGTCTGAGTCTAGATTCACTTTTTAACATGTGGATTTGTCGAAAAGATTAATCTTTCTCCATTGGATTATCCTTGCTCTTTTGTCAAAGACCAGTTAACTATATTTTTGTGGGTCTGCTTTGTTCCATTAATGGACTTGTCTATGTTCACCACTACCACACCATCTTGATTGCTGGAGCTTTTATAGTAAGTTTTAACATTCATTAATGTCGGTCCACTTGCCTGTGTTACTCTCCTGCTTCTGGTGCGTCATGATGCTCTATGTCCACCTGTCTCTCCAATTTTGGGATCTTCCATTTGTCCCGTGACTTCAATTTTCTGATGGATCTAAGAGCTGTGGAATTTTAGTTTACCTTTTTGCTTGTTACGAGGACGGGAGTAATGACTTCCAAATTTGTAACCTGTGAGACTGGAGGCCAGAAGTCCAGCTTTTTCTATATTATTAAAATTTGTCCTCCCTCTGTAACCAGTTCTGACTTCATTAGACAATGTAGTTTCTTAAGTTTTTGCATCTTCTCCTATCTCTTTACTGCCTGAAGCAGGCCTAGGGAGTTTCCCTAGCTGCCTTCCTCATATACACTGATCTTTCCAGGGGAGCAAATTTTAAAGATGGAGTTCAGTAAATTGACTAAAGAAAAAAAAAAGCCCAATGATAGACATTATAAAAAATAAGAGAGAATCAGTCTTGGCCTACATAAAGAATTTGATTCCAATAATTATGTGCTATGTTTTAAAGACACAAGATTATGTCATAGTCCTACACATGCTAACTAACATATGAGAACAAACATGGCATCCTCTAATTTTAAAAGGTGGAGTCATTGTAGGAAATACTGTGGGTTGCATAGCTTGTTGGTTAGGTCCCAGCTAAAGAGCATGGCTTTAGAAAACTCAGTGGTTATGACAGACAAATGTGTTTACGAAAGGAAGCAGGAGATGAGGTACTGGCACTGGGCAGTACACCTGGGTCTTGAACGACTGTCCATCTCAAAGTTCTTTCATTGTCCCTGACTGTACCTAGTTTTAACAAAGTGATCTGACATAAAAATCTGGTTCCTTATGATGATATGATTAAGTCTGTATTCTTAAATATTATAGAAATTACAGAGCACCGATGTGGCTCAGTCAGTTAAGCATCTGCCTTCGGCTCAGGTCATGATCCCAGGGTCCTAGGATGGAGTTCTGCTTCCAGCTCCCTGCTCAGCGGGGAGTTTGCTTCTCCATCTCCCTCTGCCCCTCCCTCCTGCTCCTGCCCTCTCTCTCTCTCTCTCAAATAAATAAATTAATTAATCTTTAAAAAATAAATACTATAGAAAGTAATGTATATTTTTTGTAAAAGATGTTCCTAAAAGTTAACATATTCTTAAAAATCATAGAAAATAAATGTACATTTTTTGTAAAAGCTGTTCCTAAAAATTAACACTTGTTGGAAGCAGTGTGATAGTGAGTATGCAAACATTATCAAATGGTGCTTTAAAATTGAGGAGAACCAAAGTTATTAAATGTATTAGCCATAGAAATATTGCCTTTATCAAAAATATTTAATGGCTTAGGAATAGTTTGTGCTTTGTATTGGCAGGTGTGCCTGATTTAGTGTTTGAAATGTTTAAAGGGATCAAGTATATCAAGTTAATATTTTTTGGACCTAAGAAAATTAGATAAATGTGGAATTAATGGGCACTGTACTAAATCCACAGGGCATCATGGAGTCACTTGGATTAGGCCCCAAGTCAGTAAATCAAGACTTACTACCCTACCTAACCGCAGTTTCAACCCCTCAGGAATGTGATCTCTAACTGGTCAACGTGGGAACTGCCTGGTCACTAGACCCCTTCCATTCCTGTTAGGAGGGCGACCTTGCCTAAAACAATCGGTTCTTTACTAATAATTCCCTTTTTTCTGTGCCCTCTCTATATTGAAAAACTCTCGCTTTTCTGCAGCTTGCTGGAGCTCCTTTCTATTTGCTGGAGGGGACGCTGCCTGATTTATGAGTAGTTTAACAAAGCCAGTTAGATCTCTAAAATGCACTCAGTTACATTTTTGTTCTTAGCAAGGACAACGTGACCAGTGAGTAGTGAGTGGTTCCCTTGACTTCCCGCCAAACTACCCTAGCAAGTTACTGCTGTTACCTACACGTACATGACAGTCTAGCCCTGACTGCCCACTCTGGTTCTTTGGTAAAACACTGTGGACAGTTGCCCTTTTTCTGCAGGGTAGAAATATCAAAAGAGGCATTTGCCACCATTTCCCAACAGACGTGCGCTCAACTCCTTCCTCAGCCTTCTGTCCACCCAAGTCCTACGCATCTTCTGGGGCGGGTTCCCCTCCCTTATTTGGGTCGCTGGGGCCATGGGATGTGCCTCATTCCCTCTGCTCTGTGCACTGCTGGAAGGAGCCCATGGGCTGCTTGTCGTCCTTTCAGTGTGCCTCTGTCTGGACCAAATGCCATGCATCGCCCTGTTCCTGGAAAGGCCCAGGGGACACTGACTATTGAGTACCTGCCAGCTGCTGCTTTCTGGAGGCTGAAAACTACCCACCCCAGGAACATCTGGGTCACTGTGCCATCTTACCCCTTCTTCTGCACCCCAAGCCCAAACTCTGGGCAAACCAGTTTAGGGCTCTAATTAGTTAGAAAGAAACAAAACACAAGACAGAAGCTGGAGTTGCTAGGAGTCTTTAGGGAAAACAGTTCTTTAATATTTACCAAAAGTGACAAAGGCTTAGTGCCCTCCCCTCCTGACCTCTGGATTTCCCTCTGAGTGTGCACTAAACAGCATGGACTGACCCCGAGCTGGTGTGTCCGCTCACCCACAGCTGAGGTGTTCCCACACCACTCGCCACACACACACAGGGCGAAGGTCGAAACCCAAGGCTCCAATGTTAATATTCATTAGGAGTGGACGGTTATGGGATCAGCTGCACCCAAACGGGAGCGAACATCGTGTATTACTGGCTCAATGACTCTCTTTCTCTCTCTCGAATAAATAAATGAAGTTTCAAAAAAAAAAAAAAAGTAAAAGTTAAAAATTTCATTATGTGGCTGATTGTGAAGTCTGCCTTTCTTCCTTTCACAAACATGACTTTATAAGAACTGTGGCTTTTAAAAAGTAATAATGAAATTATTCAACTCATATTCCCTGCCCAGAACTGAATACAGAGAACGTGCAGTGTCAAATATTCAGTTATATTCCTCACCTGAGCGACGTCTGTCAGCACAGCAATGGCAGAGAGCCTGTCCCTTTTTATTTCAAATACTCAGCGGAAGAAGAGGCTAATTCTGCTTTGTTTTGAATAGGACAAGTCCAGCCACTTGCTTGGCACTAATACTTACTTTAGAGTGATGAGTGTTACTGACAGCAACTTTATTTCCCATTTTTAAAATTCATTAATTACTTATCCACTGCCCACCATTGGCAACATAAAAGAGATGGAAAGAATGTCACGTAAGAGTCGGGTCCCATGTCCAAATGGCTTACTATAGAGTAAGGAGATCTTTATCCAGAGTAGTGACCCAGAATAAAATGTGATAGAAAAATGATGGCTTATTATTGAAATATCTACTTTTTTTATAGGAGTTACCGATTGATCACCATTCTCTCTTTCTCTTTGCGTTATTTCCTTATCGTTGTCTTCATTCTCTTCTATATTAATAAAATATTAGCAAGAATATTTACCAACTTCTGAGTGTCACAATGTGCTATTAAGCTAAGTCCTTTCCAGATGTTTTTGCATTTATTACTAAACGGGAGGCTGTTTTAGGATTGCCTTATAAATAATGAGTATTAGTGAGCTATCTGCAAGAATTAGCATAGAATAGTATTGGGTAGAATTCCCAAAAGAATAGGATAGGTAGAATTTCTGATTACAGCTTTAATGAAGATAGAGAAGTAAGTTCAGTGTCCTGGACCACGAGCCCCCGAAAGAGAACACATGTAGCTTTGGAGGATGGGGCCCAGGCTGAACATCCGCCTATTCATCTGGCAACCAGTCAGAATCCTCAAGCCCCCAGGCCCCCTGGAGAAACTGGCTGATCTGTATGGGCATTTGCTTGGCCAGTCTGGGCCAAAGGAATTGGTGTGGATTCCAACTTTCCCAGCTATATACAATCAGGCTGAACATGTGAATTGTCAAGAGACCTGAGCATTTCCCAGTCCCCTAGGAGAGGGCTGAGACAGGGGCGTGAGGAAAGGAGAAGAGAGGAAGTAGGAACGCAGGAATGAAAGAAGGAGATAACAGGGGGCCTCTGAGTCATAAATAAGTAATGCAGGTTTGCCACAAAAAATCATTGCTTTCCGTTTCTCCTCACTCACTCCCTAGGTGATAACTGTCAGTGTACAGAGACGGCAAATGTTTGCCCAGCAAAGCGTAGGTTGACACGGTTTAAAAAATAAATAAAATTATGTGGTTAGTCGTGCTTGTCCTTACGAAGGGACCTGTTCCATTTAATGAGTTCTGGGCAAACAAAAGTTTGCAGCTGAACTTGACAAAGACGCATGGTAGGAGAGTGCAGGCCAAAGGCCAGGGACACACTGCTTTGGAAAATGGGAAGTTGTGTGTGCAGAAGGGTAAGAAAGAGAGGTCGGGTGTAGAGAGGATGTGAGTCCCTGCTGTTGGCCTGCGGGGAATCTGGGGAGAAAAAACAGAGAAACTTTACGGAATGTTAGGTATGGTGTTTGATGAAATCCAGAACCCATGGAATTTTAAGTAAACTCCACTTCACTCACTGTTGTGTCATGCAGTGGGTTCCATAGGAAAAACAAAATGCATCCCAAATGCAACCTCAAGATAAGTGAAGGAGAAATCCAAGGCTTTTGGGGGGACCACTGCATCTTCTGCATAATTATTTAGTTTAATATCACCCAATACCATTGTGAAACACTTCGAATCCCCTGGGGTCCAAGCTCTCCAAGGATGACTCAGCAACTTTTGCACATTCTGAACGCACGCAAGGTGCACCGTGCAGGGAAGTTGTCAATAGAAAGTTGTTAACTTCAATGTCTGTTTTGGTTAGGATACAACCAGGTCAAGAAAACCAGACTCCTCCCACAGCTTAAACCCCACGGAAATGCGTTACCTCTGTAACAAGAAGTCCAGAGGCAAGGCAAGCGCTGGGTGTCATCCATGGGAGTCCAGGTCTTGTCTGATATTCTCTGATCTCTTCCCTTCTCTGGGCATCGGCATCATCCTTGAGCTGGGTGTGGGCAGGGCAGCAGATCCAGACATCACATCTCCACAGGACCAGCCAGCAGCAGGAGAGGGGTCACCTGTTTTAAGAAGTGGGAACAAGCGGGGGAGAGAAAGGGGGTAACAGGGTAATGAGTATTAAGGAGGACACATGTAGTGATGAGCACGGGGTGTTATAAGCAACTAATGAATCACTGAACAGTACATCAAGAACTAATGATATACTATACAGTGGCCAACTGAGCATAATAAATAAAATAAAATAAAATAAAACAAAATAAAATAAAATAAACCAGTTTAAAAAAATAAAAAGAAATGGCACCAAGTCCTTAAAAGCCCCCCAACACAGTTCCTCTCATTTGTCATTGGCCAGTGTTCTTCCCAAAGCCTTTATGTGTCAAGGGAATTGGAATCAACAAGAGTGACCTAACTCAATCATTTAAGGTAAAATGGGTCTTAGGAAGGCAAACTGAGAACATGATCATTAGACTAGCAGTTTCCAACCTTAGCCTCACATGGAACTGTGTGCTGAGTTTTCACAACGTACTGACACCGAGGCTTTACTACAGAGCAGAAGATTAAGAGTCTCTGGTGGGGTTGGAGTCTCAGCTTTAGATAAAATAAAAGCAGAGCAATTGTCTTGGCTATAGGCAAACTTGTCTTGTATGGTTGATACAAGGACAGATGAAGACATGAACGAGCCAGGAGGAAGAAATGTAGAAAGAATGCATGACATCTGATAAATTTCAACTTAGTGTATCCCTTTAGCCTAATCTGAATGTGTCATCTCCTATGGGAGCCGAAGGATGGAAAGGGAAGGGACTCACGGGCTGCTCCTGTGAGTCATCAGAACTTGATGGATGGAGGTGCAGGGGAAACCACAGGGTAAGAGAAGGGACCGGTGTGGAACACGTCAGCATGAGGGCTTCACAGATGCTATAGTTAAAGCAGTCATCATGGGGCTAGTGACAAGTGGGATCTCAGTACAAGGAGAGACTCTCTTGAGTTGAGAACATCAAGAAAAGTGAGAAGCTTGCATCATCTGCATGAACAAGGATGATGTCAACACATCCTGGGAAGGAATTATAAATGAAGAGAACAAAGGGAGTGTTGCCAAGAAGTAGGTAAGATAATGGGGTCAAGATGATGCTAACCTTAAAAGAGAAAGTTTTTTATTATTATTATTATTAATGTGGCTTTCCACTTGATATTGGGGCAAAATTCTAGAGCTTCAGAACTTGGAACCTGATGGTATAATTATTCTATTGGAAGGATTAGGAAATTAGGGCTTAATTGCCTCAAATTAAGCACAGAGGTAATGCAGTAGACTGAATAATGGCCTCAAAAATGTTCATGCCCCAATCCCTGCAGCCCGTGAATATGCCACCGCGTGTGGCAAAAGGAACTTCTCAAATGTGATTAAGGATCATGGGATGAGGGGATTTTCCTGGAATATCTGGGGAGGCCGAATGTCAGTGGGACAGGGCAGGGTTGCTGTCAGACATGGGTACAGAAGCATAAATAGGAGATTCAAAAATGCTATGAGGCTGGCGTTGCAGAATGGAGGAAGAGCCCACAAGAAAAGGGAAGATGGTGTCTTTGAGAAGCTGGACAAGGCAAAGAAATGGATTCTCCCCTACAACCTCACGAAGGAATAAAGCCACACCAACACTTTGACTTTAGCCCATTGAACCCAATTTTGAACTTCTGAACTCCAGAAGTGTGAGACAATACATCTATGTTGTTTCAAGTCCAGAGTTTGTGGTGATTTGTTATAGCAGCAACAGAAAACTGATATGGACACGATTCCAGCAGATCTGATCCTCTCCTGGGTCGTCAATGTTCATGCTTCACTAGATTGCTCCTATGAGCATCAGGCGCCCTGCTCTGTGGGGAGCCTGCTTCTCCCTCTCCCTCTGCCCCTCCTCCTATCAGTGCTCTCTCAGACAAATTAATAAAATCTTTAAAAGAAAAAATAAAACAAAACTGCTCTTGACCTTGAATAAGGTCAATTGCCAAATCCAGTGGTCCATTTTCAGTCCTTGTCTTATCTACACTGTTAGTAGTATCTGACTCTTCTTAAAACTCTTCCTTCTTTGCTTCCAGAACAGAAAAATCTCCTCCTTTCCCCCCCCCCTACCTCACTGGACCATCCTTCTCAGCCTGCTTTCCTGTCTCCTCCACTTTTTTCCTTACACACCTCTTAATGGGATCCCTCCTGGTGCTTCTCTTTACACTCACTCATGCGATCTAGTTTCTGACCAGCTCCTTCCATGACTTTAAGCAGCAAATGTATTTTGATGAATCCCAAATATATATTTTTGGTCTAGATCTATCCCTTAACTGTAGACTTGTATGTTCAACTGTCTGCATGGTTTCTTCACTTGGATATCTAATAGGTATCTCAAACACACATGTCTAAAATTGAGCTTGTTTTCCTCCCACAAAAATATGCCGCTCCTACATCATCTTCCTTTGAGAAGATAGCAACTCCTTCTTCCCAGTTCCTTAACTGAAAATGTCTGGGGTCAACTTTGATTCTTCTGTCCCTTCACCATATGTCCAATATGTTAGACAGCCTTGTTGACTCTACCCATAAAACATATCCATATTCTAACAACTTCTGACCACATTTACTGTTCATGTTATGGTCTAAGCCAACATTATTTCTTAATTTTGTAACTTTTAAAAAGATTTTATTTCTTTATTTATCAGAGTGAGAGCACAAGCAGGGGGAGTAGAGGCAGAGTGTGAAGCTTGTCCCCTGCTAAGCAAGGAGACCAATGCAGGACTCAATCCCAGGACGCTGGAATCATGACCTGAGCTGAAGGCAGACACTTAACCAACCAAGCCACCCAGGCTTACCTCTTATCTTAATTTTTCCATGGAGCCCTGAAACAGGATCTTCTTCCTCCTTGACATTCCAGTCCATTTACTGTCACTTAAATATTACAGGAATACTCTTTCTTATTGGCCTTAGCATTTTCTGGTTCATGTCCAGGCATCCTCTCGCACATTTCCATAGAGCTCACTCTCTTGCCTTAATTTTTGCTCTAGAGTCCCCTCTTCAGTCCAATCTTTTCTAACCATATTGTAATAGCACCAAACACTCCCTCTCTCCACCACTACAATTCTCCTTCCCTACTTCATTCTTTTTCAAATCCCTGTCAAGAACCATCAAGGATGGATTTGCAAGCTAATAAATTAGCTTGCCCTGGTTTCATGGATGTTGGTTGAAGAAGTACAGCTTATTACTCCCAGTAAAAGCTATAAGCTAAAGTAACAGCATCTTTTCCAGCTGTGTTGAGACACGGTTCACATATAACATTGTATAAGCATAAGGTTTACAATACGAGGATTTGATAGATGTATATATTGCAAAAAATCTTTACCACAGAAAGGTTTGTTGTGCTGAGCCCCCATTTCCACAAGGTGAAGTGAAGGGGACCAGGTGATACATAAACACTGTGGGTAGAATTATGGGAGAAAAATCTTGAGTCTAGGGAACCTGGATCAGGGACAGTAGGCACTAAACATCCCTGCCCTTTCTCTGGAAGGAAATATTTTCTTAGTATTATTAGGCAGTAAACAGCCTTCCATTTCTCTGGTAGGGTTCACGATCTCTATATTCCAAGACCATTTGCTGTATGAACTTCTTGAAAAAAATACTGTGGAATGAAGGGCAGTCAGTGCCTCTGTTTCTGAGGAGTACAGAAATGTGAGAGACTGAAGAATTATCTCCCGCTTACCCATTTCTAACAACCAAATACACCTTATTTCACTCAAGTAATTCTTCCTTCACTAAACTACAAACTCAAGACATTTCTCACTTTAATTTCATTCTCATCTAATTTATGAATAAAACAATAAATAAGGGATGTTCAATAAGGTGTGCTGCATGAGTAAACAGATGAAAGGCAAAAATACACAAGAACTTATCACGATGCCAAAACACAGGCAGATGATTGAGAAATTAAATAAATTACTGAGATGCATCGCCTTACCGCAAGCCAAATACAATAGTGGAACTTTTAAAATAACATTTTAATATCTTAGAAAAAGACTTAGGCTAACTAAAAAAATTTATACAGTATGTATGTTGAGGATTACTTCAATTTTATAAATAAACACACACATGTATAGGAAAATCGTGAAGGAAAATGCATCAAAAGTTAAATTTCTTTTTTTACTTTTTAAAAAGTTAAGTGTTTTTAAATGGGATAATTATAGGTTATCTGTATTCTCTATCCTTTGTCTTTATTTCCCCAATTTTCTGTAATTTTTATGTATCATTTTAATTATCTGGAAAAAAATGCTTATTTTGAAGTCTTTATTATTTCATTTAAAAGAAAGAAAGAAAGAAAGAAAGACAGACAAGCAGCCTGAAGCCACAGGCACTGCTTTTAATCCCCCCACCATGAACAGAAGTCCTTTCTGAGCCCTGGAAGTGAGAAATTCTGGTGGAGTCAATGGTGATAGGTCATGGTCAGTATTCTCCAGAAAATGGGTTATGAGGATAATCGACAGCACTGAACGAGATGGAGGGACATGAACTTGTCAATTATGCCTCCCAGGCTCCCAGAGGCTTTCTCTGGGTAGGCAGGAACGCCAGGCTAAAATCTCCCAAGTCTGCAGCCACATCTCCCCCCCTCCCATCCCTCCCACCTTGTACTCCAGCGCGCATGTGCACTGAAGCTCCCGAGCCCCGAGCAGAGTTCACCTGCACGTGCAGTGCCCGCGCGCGTGCAGTACAAACTCCAAAGTGCCGCAGATCCTGTTCTAGGTCGCATTTTACAAGAAAGGTAAGTATTGGGGTTCAACTATTGTGGTCACTTCATCTCCAGGTGGAATCAGCCTCTAGATGGTGAGAACAGTCACAGGGAGGATTTTGCGGCCTTTTGAAATTTTTTTATGCATGCATTCAGCAAACATATAAGGAGCTCCTTCGACAGCACAGGGTCCCTCTATTAAGGAACTCCCAGTATGCTGAGGAGATAATATGTACACCTAAATTATCATACCTACAAAATGTGATTACTGTCCTCTTAATTTATAACTTAAGAGAATACTTGTTCAGTAATCAGTATTATGATATTTCTTTCAAAACTAAATTCTTATTCTGTAACTAAAATCTTTTTCCCCTTATCTCTAAATTGCCTCGTGAACTCCCTCATTAGACACAGAAGGCACAGCTCCCACAGTCCACTCTACTTCTGGGGGGCCTGTGAAAATGGTTTGTCTTTAATTCTTTTCAAAATCAGGAGAAAAAAGGATTCTACTAATAATGACTGCATCATAATGAGTCCAGCCTGGATTCTATTTATTTTTATCCTAACACAATTGTAAACTGTGATGTTAGTATTGTTATGGAGGAACACGGCATTCTTCACCCCATGTGGAGCCCAATGCAGGGCTTGAACTCACAACCCTGAGATCAAGACTGAGTTGAGATCAAGTATGGGCTGAGCTGACTGGGCCACCCAGGTGCCCCACTTCTTATTTTTTTTAATTAGTGTTTAAAATGACGACAGACCATTATGCTCAGGTTGTGGCCTCTACATGCCATCTCCTACTAAAAGTAACCAAGATTTCTTAGAAAGCTGGATGATTCCTGGTCTGAACCAAAAGCTACAAAGGGATCCTAGAACATCTACAGTACTGAGAGTAAAGAAGATGGGGAAGACAAAGAGAAGGAGGATGCTTCTGCCGACCAAAATGGTGACCATTTGCTCATGGATAAGAACAGCAACTGCACTGGGTGGGAAAACATCCCATCTGTTAACACCCATGAATTACTGATGGCATGTGTATGATTATGGCTTTAGACCTAACTTCCAGCTTACAGGAAGCACAAAAGACAGAGCAACATGTCAAATTGTAACACAGGGATCAGTCAGTAAAACCAATTCCATAGAAAAATTTAAACGAAAAAAGTCTTAGTTTATTTCACAAATAAATTGAGAGAGAGAGAAGGAGGAGGAGGAAGACTATGGGAAGGAAGGAAGGGCAGAAGGACGTATTTTAACACATTTTTAATTATTTTCTGCAAATAGATTCCTTGAATATGAAGAATATAAATCTGTGAATGGTTTCCTGCCTCATTTTCAAGCTCCTTCACAAAAGGGCTATAAAGCTTCACAATATCAATAGTGTTTGAAAATTGGCAGCATATGGAATTTTTTTTAATTCAATTAGCCAACATGTAGTACATTATTAGTTTCAGATGTAGTGTTCAGTAATTCACCAGTTGCATATCACACCCAGTGCTCATCACATCACATGCCCTCCTTAATGCCCATCACCCGGTACCCCATCTCCCCACCCACCTCCCCTCCAGCAACCTTCTCATGTTAAGAATCTCTCATGGCTTTTCTTCCTCTCTGATTTCTTCCCAGTCTTCCCTCTCTTCTGCTATGATCCCCTGCACTATTTCATATGTTCCACATATGAGTGAAACCATATAATTGTCTTTCTCTGATTGACTTATTTCAGTCAGCATAATACCCTCTAATTCTATTCACATTAATATAAATGGTAAGTATTCAACCTTCCTGATGGCTGAGTAGTATTCCATTTTATATATATACCACATCTTCTTTATCCATTCATCTGTCAAAGGACATCTCAGCTCCTTTCACAGTGTGGCTATTGTGGACATTGCTGCTATGAACATTGGGGTGCATGTGCCTCTTCAGATCACTACATCTATATCTTTTGGGTAAATATGCAGTAGTGCAATTGCTGGGTCGTAGGGTAGTTCTATTTTTAACTTTTTGAGGAACTGCCATACTGTTCTCCAGAGTGGCTGTACTCTGGGAATGTTGCATTCCCATCAACAGAATAAGTAGGTTCCCCCTTCTCTGCATCCTTGCCAACATTTGTTGTTTCATGTCTTGTTAATTTTAGCCATTCTGACAGGTGTAGGTGGTATTTCATTATGGTTTTGTTTCTATTTCCCTGTTGGCAAGTGATGTTGAGCATTTTTCATGTGTCTGTTGGCCACTGGGATGTCTTCTTTGGAGAAATGTTTGTTCATGTCTTCTGCCCATTTCTTGACTGGATTATTTGTTTTTTGGGTGTTGGACATTATTTTTAAAAATTATTTCTTTTATTTATGACTATTCCTTTCCTCACTCTCCACTTCTTTGCTTTTCCTCTCAGGTCCTCTCTCACTGCTTTGCCACTGCTCCTGTGGGCTTTCCCAAGCAGTCCACGTCATGAAGTCCAGTGGTTTTTTTCATCCCTATTTGGACTGGCAGCTCCTCACCAAGACCACCCCCACCCCTGTGCCCCATGACACACTCAAACATTTTCAACCCTCCACTTTGGCTTCTACCATGTTCTCTCTCCCTACTTGGCAACTCATATTCAGTCTCCTAACCAATGCATTTTTGCCTGATCCTTAAGTAATTGTTGACTTTTCTGTCCTCTCCAGTTCATCCTTCCCAGAATAAACTGGAAATTTGTCCCCAGAAATGCTAATCCATTTCTGTGAGTTTAATTACCACCCATAAAGCAAGGACTCCAAAATCTTCACCTCCAGCCCTGACCGACTTCCTGAGCTCCAAATCAGCACTGCTGTTTGCCAAATTCAGCATCTCCCACTTGGATGTCTCAGAGGAAATCATACCCTACCCAGTCCCCTCAACTTGTTCCTCCTTTGGCATTTCTTCTTGCGATAAAAGGAACAATCCCCTCTTCAGTGGACACAAGCCAGAAATTTGGGTCCCCTACATTAAGGAAGAGGGTGTGAAGGGCAGGAAGCAAGGCGGTCTCCGGTGGACTGTGGGCTCACCTGGTTGCAGACAGGTTTGTATTTGAACCCTGGTTTGTTCAGGATCATTTCCAGCTGCTTGTGGTTGAAACTGGATACCCCTATGGACTTGGTTAAACCTGCATCTTTACTCTTCTCCATGGTCTGGAGTGTAGGGAAATGTGAGGCAAATCCTTAGTGTACTTTGGCCCTTGCATTTGACATTGAACTTTTCAAAAACAGGAAATCTGTTTTTAACATATATAATGATTTGACTGAACCAGTTTTACCATTTATATATATTATTTCCTATGATTCTTTATCGCTGTGTGCACGTTTTACTTCCTTGAGTCCATTAACATGCACAACCAGGACAACAAATAGACACTGGGAAGCTTCTAAGTTCCCCTTCCCCTCCCCACTCTCTTCCGTGGCACCTGTTTTGCCATTAGGCCCATAATAGTTCTTTAACAGGTGGTACCAGAGTCTAGGGCAAAGAGGAACTCTCAGGTTTTCCACCAAGGGAAAGTCCTTCTGCTTCCTCTCTCCTTAAATGGTAAAAAAAAAAAAAAAAAAAAAAAAAAAAGTATGGAATGGGATACACAAGGGCAGGCTTTACTCCTAAAACCCACCCTTCTGCTAAGTCAGACAGCAGCCCTTCCCTCCCTCTGTGGGTATATTTACTTGTCGCAGATAGAGCTCCACCTCCTTTTGAGCTTGCTGCTGACAATCCCCTTTATGGGGCTCGCAGGCTCAACCTGATCCATGGAGCAAAGAAACCCCATATAGAACCACAGAAATTAGATTAAAAATAGACCTAAGAGGCCATCCTGGTCAACTCCCTTGCTGTACAGATGAGAATACTGAAGTACGTCGAGGCTCAGCCACCTGTCTGAGGGCAGACCATTGATGGAGCCAGAACCCATGTCTCCTGACTCCCCACCTAGCGGCCCCTACCTTGCTACATAGCGCCTCTCAGGTCTAGTGGCCATACTTACACCCACGTGTCACACAGGTCCACCAACTCTAAAATAACCTCCCCATTGGCATCCTTGGGCATAATCTCCCCCCAGTCTGGAACACAGAGAGGAGAGAGAAGGAGGAAGAAGGTTTTTTAAAGAATGAAGTTTCTGGTGCCTAAGCAGCTGGGTCACATGATCTTTAAAAAGTTGTGATTAGTGATCAAAGTGTATGTGTGAATTTGTGCATGTGGGTGTGTATTGTGTGTTGTGGAGAAGAAATGGGGGGCAGAGAAGAACAAGAATCACCTGGAGACTGTAACTAAGTACCCCCCCTCCTATTCACACACACCCCTAAACCTTGCCAAGAATCGGTCCTCTTATTGTTGGAATTGATTTCACAAGGATAGGCTGGTTTAGATGATAACAACCCCCTTTACTAATGTGTTTAAGCTTCAGTTTACGATAAACTAAGAGATGGTGAGGTTACCAGACATAGTCAGTGGACGTCCTCTCTGATGAGAGGTTGGATCAGCAAAGCCCAAAGCAGCCCAGGGGTGCAGTGTGGACCATCCCAAGGTAGCTCATCATGATTGGGCTAAGAGGTCCACATGGAAGTGACCCTCCCCTACAGAGGTGGGGGTTTCCCATCATATCTCTGCAGTCAGTTATAACTCAACATTCTTGAGGACACTAATCACTAAGTCACCACAGACAGCAGTGCATCACATAGACATGTAGGGCACCGTCCTCGACTCTTTGAGGTGGAGACAAAGAGATCATTAAATTTCAAGCATTCTGCAGGTAATGGGGTACAGATTAAAAAAAATCTCAGTGGTGAGATAACAGAAGTGTCAAAGAGAGTCAAATCATGAAGCAATTCTGTGCACCATACCCAAGCCTACCTCTCAGTCAGAACCCAGACAAGCTAGCGGGAAGGAGGTAACGAGGCATGGCATCAGGGGTGGGCATAATGAGGAAAAGCAGAAGCTGACCTTCATAGCGATTGGCAAACAGATAATGAAGAGATCCATGCAGTCCAGCTGAAGGGCCTTCAGAGATCTTTCCAGGGCTGATTGGAACAATTCCAGGTGATGGAAAGTAGTCCAAAGCATCAGTGACCAAAAGAAGTGGTATCACATATTTGGGGACCAAAATTAAGCATCTCAGTTACAAGATTGAGAAGCAAATAACAAGCCACTAGAGTGGTCTAGAAGTAAGAAACGCCGGGACTAAATTCAACAGTTGGTGTGACTGGGGTACCTCAGGGCATGGAGCTGTATTTGAGTGATGATAGGAAAACTGAATGAACTTGGATGGGTCAGGGAGAGCAGCCCAACATCTCATGGGTCAGAAAAGTCACCTCTGAAGGGAGAGTCAGGAAGTGCCAGGCAAAGGGAACAGAATCTGCCTGGAAACAGTTCTGCCACTTTCCAGAAGCAGGGTGTCCCTGATGAGACACTCATAGGATCATTCTGTAGAGACCCCTGTTGTCTCAACATTGGAAGCACCTTTTTCCACCTAAGAACATTTTACAGATTTCGGGAAATTCAACGCTGACTTGAAGAGTGTATTTCTGAGCCAGGCTCTCTTCTGTGAATTCCAGGTCAACCACATGTGGATTCATCCTGACAGAATCTGCTGAAGAGTAAAAGGAGGGGCCCCACCCGTGGTGGCTCAGCCGAGCCATACAATGGATAAAGACTGTATGTGTCACCAATCACGTTTCACGTGTGAATGGGGTCTGCTCTCCTGCCTCTTACCTGCTTCGAGCTCAGTAAGTCTTTTTCGTTCTCTGTTTTTCTACAGTGGGTCCTTACAATGTGAGAAGGTACATAAATTACTCAAACCAAAACCAAAGGTGGTTTTTTGTGTTTTTCAAGATAATGTATCTAGCAGCAACTCCCTGTCACGGGCCCACAGGATCTTGGTGGTGTAAAATATGTCCTCTCTCTTCACAGTGCCATCAGCAATGTTCTCTCGAATGGCCTTGCTGACCTCCTCCTCATTTTGATATACATGTGCTGCATCAAAGTGACAGAAACCTACGTCAGTCACCACTTTGGTGGCCTCATTGACCTTGCTCTTAGAAACCTATAAAATATGAATTAGGAGGGCTGGTAATCCACCTGATGCAGAGAGAAACAATGCATTTCCTTAATGGCATGTTGGCCAGCTGTTTCTGCATGTGCCCTGCTCTCCTCAGGAGTGATGCAAGCTTTGGTAACAAAGCTATAGTTGGGGGGCACAGACCTCTCATCTCAGAGGAGTTAGTGAAATGGGCTTCACCAGGGACCATGGAACATCAAATCTCATTCAGTAAAGAATTCGTTGTATGGGAGTAACTAAGAGGAAAACTTCTGACATTAGAGAAAACTTCTAAGGATATAGATGTACATAGATATAGTTACAGAAGACAAAGACAGGGTAAAAAGGACCGCATGTATTTTTGGCTTAGAATAAAAAATGAGGCCATTATAGCCATTCTCCATCCAAACAATTTATATACATATATATAAGAAAATCTAATATATATTATATATAATATATATATAATATAATTATATATACATATATACATATATACATATAAAAATCTAATACATCTAATATATACAATTATATTATATAAATATATATATTAGATTTTTTTATATGTATATTTCTTTACACAGACACACACGCGCGTGCGCATGCGCAATGGAATATGACTCAGCTTTGAAGAAAGAAATCCCGTCATTTGCAATGACATGGATGAACCCTGAGGGCATTTATGCTAAGTGAGATAAGGCAGACAGATAAAGACAAATACTGCATGGTGTCACTTATATGCGGGGGTCTGCAAAAAAAAATTACATTTCCTAGAAACAGAAAGTAGAAAAGTGGTTGCCAGGGGCCCGGTGTTGGGGATATGGGAAGACATTAGTAAAACAGTGCCAACTTTCAGCTATAAAACAAGGTCTGAGGAACTCATGTATATCCTGGTAACCTATGTTGATAACACTGTCCCGCAGAACTGAAATTTGTTAAGAGGATAGAAGATAAACTTTCTCACCAGAGAAGAAAGGGAGGGCATACAGACATGAAGTGAAGAATGTGTTAGACTTGATGGGATGAATATTCTCCCATGTACACATATATTAAATAATCATGTCATGCAGTTTAAGTATCTTACACTTTTGTGAATTTCACCTCAGTAAAGCTGACAAAAAAAAAAAAAAATCAATCCATATACCAGTTGGATTACAGGGGAAATAATGGGTGATTTTCAGGGAGATTGAGAGAGAATTAAAGGAGAAATATACTGCATGATGCCCCTCATTGAGATGCAGTTGTTATTCTGTGAGCTTGCACTAAACCCATCCTTGCACACTCACTCAAAGTCTTCCAACCAGAAGCACCCACAGCTCTGCCTGAAGAGAGGCTCTCAGTAATCAGGTAAAGAAGGTGTGTTGAGGGGAGGAGTCAAGATGGCGGAGAAGTAGCAGCTGAGACGACATCAGGTAGCAGGAGATCAGCTAGATAGCTTATCAAAGCATTGCGAACACCTACAAATCCCACAGGATATCGAAAAGAAGAAGAGGAACAATTCTAGAAGCAGAAAATCAACCACTTTCTGAAAGGTAGGACTGGCGGAGAAGTGAATCCAAAGCGACGGGAAGATAGACCGCGGGGGGAGGGGCCGGCTCCCGGCAAGCGGCGGAGCAACGGACACAAAATCAGGACTTTTAAAAGTCTGTTCTGCTGAGGGATGTCGCTCCAGAGGCTAAACCGGGGTGAAGCCCATGCTGGGACAGCGTGGTCTCAGGTCCCGTGGGGTCACAGAAGGATGGGGGTGTCTGAGTGTCGCGGAGCTCACAGGTATTAGAGCGGAGAAGCTGGCTACAGAGACAGAGCTGAGGAGTGAGCTCTCAGCTCGGGGTTACCTTGAACTGTAATCCGTGGCACAGGCCACTGCTCTGTGAGTGGGGTCCCCACAAGATCCGGGGAGACACCCCTGAAGAGTGCAGGGATCTGCAGGGTTTCAGAGACTCCAGGTGGAGCTGTGTGCCAGAGACAGAGATGCTTGGTCACAGGCTGGCTGAGCTCGGAGCACGGCAGGGGGGCAGGGAGACAGGAGTGATTGAGCGCTTTTCTCTGAGGGCGCACTGAGGAGTGGGGTCCCAAGCACTCAGCTCCTCTGGGCCAGGGATTGGGAGGCCGCCATTTTCACTTCCGTCCTCCGGACTCTACGGAGAGCGTTCAGGGAACAAAAGCTCCCAAAAGCGAACCCCAGCGGATTACTCAGCCAGGCCCCTGGTAAGGGCGGTGCGACTCCGCCTGGGGCAAAGACACTTGAGAATCACTACAACAGGCCCCTCCCCCAGAAGAGCAACAAGAAATCCAGCCAAGACCAAGTTCACTTACCAAGGAGAACAGCGGAATTCCAGAAGAGAAAGCAAAGCATGGAATTCATGGCTTTCTCCCTGTGATTCTTTAGTCTTGCAAAGTTAATTAATTTTTTAAAATTTTACTTTTTTTCTTCTGCTAAATTTTTTTTAACTTTTACCCTTTCCTCTTTTAACATTTTTTAACTAGTTTATCTTAACAATACCTTTCATTAAAAAAATAACCTTTTTTGAACATTCATTATTATAGTCATATTTTATCCTTCATTGTATCTAACTTTATTTTTTGTATACACATAGGGTTTTTTCTTCTAAAAAATTTGGGGTACAACTTCTTCTAATAGATCAAAATATGCCCCAAATCTAGCACTGGGCTTGTTCTAGTCTCCAGCCTGAGCAAATTCTCTCCACTTTCTTTTTCTTTATTCTCCCAACCAACTTACCTTATCAACTCCTTTTTTAGAAATTAAAAAAATTTTTTTCATCTTTATAGTCATATTCCATCCCTTCATTGTGTTTACCCTTATATATGTTTTTCATTCTTTAAGATTTTGGGAGGTAGTTACTTTTAAGAGACCAAAATTAAGTGGATGACCCTGTTCTAGTCACCAGTCATATATATATATATATATATATACACACACACACATATATATATTCTTTTATATATTTTTTCTTTATTTGTTTTCTTTTTTAAATTTTTTTTCTGAACTTCTTTTTACCCCTTTCTCCCCCCCCTTGATTTGAGGTCTCTTCTCATTTTGTTAAAGGACATTTTCCTGGGGTCTTTGCCACCCTTTTAGTATTTTATTTGCTCCTTCATGTATTCTTATCTGGACAAAATGACAAGACGGAAAAACTCACCACAAAAAAAAAAAAAAAAAAAGAAGAACAAGAGGCAGTACCGAAGGCTAGGGACCTAATCAATATGGACATTGGTAATATGTCAGATCTAGAGTTCAGAATGATGATTCTCAAGGTTCTAGCCGGGCTCAAAAAAGGCATGGAAGATATTAGAGAAACCCTCTCTGGAGAAATAAAAGCCCTTTCTGGAGAAATAAAAGAACTAAAATCTAACTAAGTTGAAATAAAAAAAGCTATTAATGAGGTGCAATAAAAAATCGAGGCTCTTACTGCTAGGATAAATGAGGCAGAAGAAAGAATTAGTGATATAGAAAACCAAATGACAGAGAATAAAGAAGCTGAGCAAAAGAGGGACAAACAGCTACTGGACAATGAGGAGAGAATTCGAGAGATAAGTGACACCATAAGATGAAACAACATTAGAATAATTGGGATTCCAGAAGAAGAAGAAAGAGAGAGGGGAGCAGAAGGTATATTGGAGAGAATTATTGTAGAGAACTTCCCTAATATGGCAAGGGAAACAAGCATCAAAATCCAGAGGTGCAGAGAACCCCCCTCAAAATCAATAAGAATAGGTTGACACCCTGTCATCTAGTAGTAAAACTTACAAGTCTCAGCAACAAAGAGAAAATCCTGAAAGCAGCCTGGAACAAGAAGTCTGTAACATACCAGGGTAAAAATATTAGATTGGCAGCAGACTTATCCACAGAGACCTGGCAGGCCAGAAAGAACTGGCATGATATATTCAGAGCATTAAACGAGAAAAACATGCAGCCAAGAATACTATATCCAGCTAGGTTATCATTGAAAATAGAAGAAGAGATAAAAAGCTTCCAGGACAAACAAAAACTGAAAGAATTTGCAAACACCAAACCAGCTCTACAGGAAATATTGAAAGGGGTCCTCTAAGCAAAGAGAGACCCTAAAAGTAGTAGATCAGAAAGGAACAGAGACAATATACAGTAACAGTCACCTTACAGGCAATACAGTGGCACTAAATTCATATCTCTTGATAGTTACCCTGAATGTAAATGGGCCAAATGCCCCAATCAAAAGACACAGGGTATCAGAATGGATAAAAAAACAAAACCTATCAATATGCTGCCTACAAGAAACTCATTTTAGACCCGAAGACACCTCCAGATTTAAAGTGAGGGGGTGGAAAACAATAAGACTAGGAGGGCTTCCAAAGTGAGCAAGAGCAAGCCATGCTCAAGAAGTAGGGGGGACAGAGCTCAGGGATGAAGGTTTGGGGGACTGTGATGAGCTGGGAGTCCGGGGCTCTTTGGATGACAGACACAAGCCAGTGTGAGGAGCAAACACCTGACGAAGGAGATGTGGTAGCCCAGGAAGCAGAGGGCTCACCTTGGAGAAACCCCCTCCACTGAATCCAGACATCTTGAGAATTGATAAAGCAGAGAACTTTTTCCCTGATGGTCAACCATCACGTTCCTGCCAGGTGAAAAAGAAACCATGATGCACCAAACAGCGGATGCCTGCTTCTCTCTCAAAACTCAGGGAGATGGATACTGGAAGGAAAAACTGACAGAGGGAAACAAGAAATGAAAAAAGGATATTGTCTTCTTCCCCACTGGAGGGCAAGGCTCGGATGCGTGACTCAATGGTACAGGGCAGGAGCTGTCAATGCCCAGAAGGGAGACCCACGCAGCCCACACGAAATCGAGCTGTGTGGGAAAGCCTTAGGGGAAGGGGTAGGAAGGAGTGGTCCTCTCTTTGACTCAGTCCCTCAGGAAAAGAGGCAGAGTCGGGATTAGTGAACGACACACAGCTGGATAGCTTTCTGGAAGTTATAGGAAAGTGCTGGGCCTGAGGAGGTTAAAA